GGCATATGTACCTCTCTGCTCATGACACAAGAGTTGGGCAGGGAGAGGAAGATGAGACCAGAGCAGAGTGGAAAGTCTATCCTTGGCTCCAGTGAAAAGATGCTTTTCGTCATTCCATTTATAATATGAAATAATACAATACAAATGGCACTTAAGTCACACTTTTATTCATTTGTGGTTTTCTTTGCTCTGTTTCTCATTGTCTTACAGTTGAGATCCACCTCTTTATTTTTCCTTTGGCTCAAATTATAAAATGAGCTTTGATTTAATTAATTACAAAGATGCCTACAAAGATGTACAAACTTAATTACTTACTCAATTGGTGACAAAAGCGGTAGCAGAGGTAAAATGATAACATATTTATTTAATCTGTGCTACCAGCAGATCTGTTGGCTAACAGCTCATCTGCTTCCACTGCAGGGCCAATGCACCTGTAAGCAATTTGCATTCTTTTCACTGGGACTCCGTGAGATTTTCCTCGTGTGTTGACTAAGAAGAAAATCTGATTCAAAAACTCATAGCAGTTTGGCCAAGACTATGGCTGGATGTTAGTCTCCTCTTCACTCCATGAATATATATAGCAGTGAGTTGTGATTCACAAGCACACACAACACAAGTACAATAAAAAAGCTGTAATATAAAGAGCCATGATCTGCCATGATTTGTGCCTCATCAGAGTCTTGTTTGTTTTTGGAAGTGCCATGCACAGTAAAAGGACTCACCTCTGTGAAATGATCCCTGAAAGGCTCAGGGAGTCAGAGCAAAGCCTGTAAAACTGAAAGAAAGACCTATATATATATATATATATATATATATATATATATATATATATATATATATATATATATATATATATATATATATATATATATATATATATATATATATATATATATATATATATATATATATAGGTGCTAGAAAGTCTGCAACACATTCAACTCATAATTAAAATCATGTCCATAGTGAGTGAGATGATTCATTTGTAACAATAATAGAATTACAATACAGTAGAATCATAATTTCAGTCTTCCCATACAAAATGCATTATTACTGAAACAATCCAAAATCAGTCGAATAAATCACATATAATACTTATCTACCATGCCTGAATTGTATGATACAAAGTCTTATGTTGAATGGCTCATACACACTAACATTTATAAGAACTATAAAGCTCTTAAACATCAGGTAGGTGGTTGGATTAAACTCATAATTGTTAACAGTTTACACTGTTTAGCAGCAGACCAAAATGCAATCTCCATGTGCCTTTAATAGACACAGGGTTACTGTTTGGAAGTCTGGGCACTTGATAAACCACAAAACAAATTACCTCTGTAGTATTATTACACCTTAAAATTTGAAAGTGAATGCAAATGGGCCATATCTTTAATGCGAGACAAGTTTATAGTTATAGGGGTATAATGAAGGTATTAGTGGTAGTTGCTTCTAATTCTTCTGGCGTTATGCACTAGTTAAATGGACACAGAGTATTTTCCCCTTTCTTTAGTCTTTCTTAGGCTGGGGCTTTTGAATTAAACTGGATAGGCTGCTGCTTGTTAAGTCCTGGTTTTGCACTAGTTTGGTTCAATGGAAGACCTTGTGTTAGGTACTACATGGTGAGAAAAGTTTTATAAGCCATTGCTATAAGGCATTAAATGGCACTTGGACAGCATCTGAATGACAGGAGTTCTGCCAGGACACAGTAACCGTAAAGCTCAGTGGAGGTTTTAAAAGCCTTATTAAGTTTCATATTTGACTTTTTACTGCCCTCCTCTTCCAACACACACTACTGTTGGGTTTCCTTGCTTCTTGGGGACATTACCTTGACTTCCTAATTTCCTGGAGACTGATCCCAACCTTAACCATCGTCATTACGTGCGTAACTCTAACCCAATCCCTTCACCTAAACTAACTACAGTCTATGATTGTAACCCATATCTGGGTTTATCCCATATTGGCAAGAAAATAATTAAAGATTTACGTCATGAAGACCAGATTTTTCTCCCCATAATAGAGGCACATCCCCATGATTGAGTGTGTATGAAGATGTTAGTTCCCACAATGTGATAAACACACACTCCTTTCTACTGTGCAGTGTGGATAATACCTATAGGCACTTCACAGTAGTTGTTCCAGTCTCTATCATTTCTCCTGCCCGTACCATGTCCTGACGTGCCATGAAAGAATGCCCCTGTATGTTTAACCATTTAGATGTGTAATTACACACCATATAGAGCGATAGCCAGAGGACACACGATCACAATTATGTTCTTTAAAAGGAAATGCTGCTTCATTCAGATCCCCAGCCACAGTCAGAGAGGAAAAGAAGGAAAGTTATATTATATTATACTATTCAGTTTAATGAGAAGTAAAGTTCTCATTACACTACCTAATACAAAATTGGGAAAAAAAACAAATACAGCCAATCTAACCAAGCAGGAAAACTACACACTAATCTAGGCGTTGCTTTTTCTTAGTCACTTATTGGTATAGAACATGTGAGTAGCCACGGAAGTAGGTAACTCTTTGGAGCATTCATCTGGGGATGAATACGCAAGCCAAAAGTATTATGTTATATTGCAGATACAGTAAGTCAGAGGAGCCCATGTGTTATCTATGTGCAGACATGTGGACTGCAGGCGGAGCTGGGACCATTTCCCTGCACCCCTCTTTGTAGAATTGCCAGAAGTCAAACAAGGAGGAACACGCCTATATGAAATCAGTTTCAGAAAGACTATAGATGCTTCATATTAATTTATCTGAGCAGTATGTTATGATATTTTGTCTGTCTCTTTTTCATTCAAGCTTGCTACAGTAATAACCCAAACCAACAAAATGAGGCAAAGTATCCACAATCAATTGAGCATGGGCATGCCCCTAATTCTAAATTCATATTATGTTTCTGTATTCATTCACTCTCTGATTACCATGGCTGCTTTGAGCTTTAATTAGCTAGTCTCTATATGACGGTTAATCATAGAGCTAATATTGACTGCTATTACATTACCAAACCTTAATTCCCTCACATTTTAGTACAGATATTTCTCCAACAGTATCATGCATTTCTTTAGACACTTTGAATAGGAAAAGTTAAACTGGGCTACTTGTCTACTATTGAAAAAAGTCCCATCCCCATTCAGAAAGAGTAACCTTGTCCCACCTCTCTAAACTTCATTCACACTCCACCTCCACTCTCTTTAAGTGTGCTTTTGTCTGCCTTCCCAGACAGCTTTGTTAACATGTCTTTCATTCTCTCAGCATTTGCCAAAAAGGAAATAATAAACAGGTTGTTTTTATCATGTCCATTTAACACCAGTCATTTGCCTTGCCCGACACTTTCTGTGGTTAACTTTAATGCTTCTAATTAAGACAATAATCCTCCCTCAGCCTGGATATAAAAACTCTTAATTATATACTTGAGTCAGGATGCCTCTAATAAGAAACTTGCACTCAGCACTTGCTTCTTTAGTAGCTCAGTTTGTTCTAGTTAACTTAACAGTCCATAAAGTAAGTGAATGCAGTCCACCTGAGAAGAGTATTATGATGTGGCTACAAAGAAAGCACCACTTAATATTGCTAGGCCTGTCATGATAACGACAATATTGACTTATTTTTTGGGGATCAATATTTACTGTGGGTACTTTTTCTTTGCAATAGTGGAGAGATGTTTGCCATTTTTATGTAATAACGTAAGATTTGAGCCGTAAGGAGTAGAATACATAACTTCAAATTATCAGATCATTCTGCCATTTGTTGGCTGCAGCTCAGCCTTTTTGATGATACAGTCTGTACTGGCATTATCTTGCTTTCTGTCACTTTGTCAGTATTTTTAATATTATCATTTATTGCATTATTATTTCTCTCTAGCTATTTCTCTATAATATATCGTGCTGCAAAATGTGGTAGTGTGACCTAAATATTGCTACCTCAATTTCAATCTGGACAGACTCAAAAGGAGTTAAATGTGCATGTTGAGGCAAATTAACTTAATAAATTATAAAATTAATTAGTGAAGATAACCAGATAAGAGATGGGATAAAGTTTTCCATCTGAACTGTTGCTAAAGCTCCATGACTCTTAATCAAAGTTAATATAACGAAGGGGACTAATTCATATGTTTCGCTCATAGAGTGATATACATGTATATTGTTTGATTCATAATACTAACTAAAAAATAACAAATAAAATCTACATAAATCTATGACAAGTGTTTTCTTTTTTATCTGGCCATCGCAGTCACTTCAGCTTCATTGTTCAGACAGTTAGATTTCATAAACTTGGTCCATATGGCAGGTATGGTAATCTATTGTTAATCAGTGTGAAACAGTCAACTAAGGCTTCCTGTGTTGTTTTTTCATGGCATCAAAACAACCATGGGAATTATTTATCTTTTTACTATAAAAGCACATATATGTAAGTACAATTAGTAATCATCATTATTTGTCTTCTCAACTTGATAAAAAATGTGAAAGTCTTTGTGAAAGTTTTGTCTCTTGCTCAAATTTTGGTTGATAAACAGTGCCATCAGGTGGGCATATAACATCATAACAATTTACTGAGCAGGTTTCTTTTAATTTCTTCTTAGTTTTTTTACAGTATTTGCTGCTTCCATAAATGTTGCTGTGGCTTAGTTATTCAAAGCAACCGTATGTAGTGAGAAAATATATTATAAAAAGTATAATTTGCAATTAAAAGTTTAGCAAGTTAATAAAATGTTATATTTTTTTCTTTTGCTTTGCCAGGTTGATGTTTTTGTCAATAATAATTTAGTTTAAAATGGTAGTCAAAGGCAAGAATGGTTATGTCTACATTAAAGCATATAGCAGATCAACATAATCATACATAATAAATATATATTTTGAAATATAGAAAGTTGCAATATCTCTAAATAAGTCAGTTAAAAATGTGTGCAGTTTACTATATAGATAAACGGAGCAAGAAAAAAACTATTATTACGAACAAGTCTGATACTTCCCTATACGTGCCCCCATGTGACCCAGACATGGGTGGGGCTGTGGGTGCTTCTGCTGCCTGACAAGGAGACCGAGGCCCTCACGGAGCTGCAGGTGCTGTGGGACCAAACTATGGACTACCAACAGAAACTGGCTGAGAAGTTGACCCTCTTGAATGAGAGGGGCACCGGAGTCCTCATACGCATGAACTACATTAAGAAGGTGAGGGCCACAGGAAGCTAACCCTTGTATGAGACGGGAAAAAGGAACTCAAATTTTGTATACTTCTTTTGATCTGAAATTTGACAGGATGGAATAATGACTTTTTAATATGTAGCAAGACTTTTGGATGTATGAAAGTTTGTACCAAAATTATATAGTGTTGAAATCCTTTAGCTAATGTAAAGTCTATTTAAGAAGCTTTTGCCACTGCATCATTCTGCAAAAAGGAAGCATGAACAGGAAGTTGGTTTAAGCTCTCTGTCTTGTCAAATTTCAGAAGGCTATATTTGGAATGGTGTGCCTAATGTTAGAAAAAATATAGATAATAAAGTAATATGTAATATGCAGAAAATAAATAAATAAAAAATAAATAAATAATTTAATTCATGGACTTTTCCAACAATTAGTACTTTAAATGTTTGGACCAAAGCCAGGAATTGAATATCACACATATTTATTTTGAAGATGATGATAACAAAAATATTTTCCGATGCTAATGAAGTGCACTTTAGACTTCTCAATTTCAAGATATTGTATTGCTGACAGAGAGGCTGCTAGATCTGGTTTAGAGGTGGTTTTGAAAAGAAGGCGGAGGATTCAGTGCAATATTTCACACTCAGCATAATGAGTTACAGCATTTCACTATACTGGGGTTATTATTTTGATGGTATACTGTCTTCTTTATATAATCACAAAATATAAATCATTAGAATGGCAGAAGTGATGTTAATGGTTATAACCTTCTTTTGCATTTAAATTCTGTTTTTTGTAGACATGCACAATTCAGATTTGATTTTAGATGAAGATCCAGTCATTTTTAATTGTGAATGGTGAGGACTTTTTAGCCAAGAGTTCTACAAAGAGTTCTATGTCAGTAAATGCATGTGGTTTAGAGCAGACTTCAAACTTTAGAGGAACACATTTTACTATTCTATCTGTTAAATAGCAATAATCAAAAGTCTGTATTATTTATGGTCACAAAACTCATATTAAAAGTAATTTCTATTTATTAAAATTTAGATAAATCTATAGGAACAAACCATGCTTTTTATCCTATCAACTGTATATCATGGCATTAACATATGAGATACAGCTGTAGGTCATCTGTACTGCATGCAATCATTATGTCAGCAAGCAAAACACTTTACTAACTTACTAACTATTGTGTGACTGGTTCACTGTCAAAATCTAAACTACATTCAACTGTATTCTGTTTCAGACATGTGCTGACCCCAAACTACGACCATCCATTCTGACTGATAAAGTCATGGAGTCCGCCATCAAACACATTAACAAGAAATTTCCAAACATTGACTTCAGAGGAAGTGTTGTAAGTCTGCATGGCATAATTGGCGTCACATGTTTGTTGTCTATAAGTGAATTAAAACTGTTTTTGTTTATGCAGCAAAGTCTGACCTCCATCCAGCGACAAAAGACTGAAGTGCTCTCAGCCACATCTATCTTCTATGATTCCTTCCTCGATGTCATAGAGTTCAGGGTGATTATATCTTTTCTCAATTTTCATTTCAATATTTGGGTGAGCTGCTTTCCCATTGTCTTCCTCCTACATGACAAACAAAGACACAAAATGAGCCATCCAATACATACAGGATTTTTCCTCATTCATTTTATGGCTGCATCACCTTGACTTGCACTTTCAGAATACATTTACATACAAAGTGGTTTATTTTCATTTTGTTGTTTGATTTTATTACAAATACTGAGGGGAGTTAGGTCAGTGCAGTTAGCTAAAGTGCACCAGAAGATATTCCATAATTTAGTGGCTGTTGCTACCAACCTCACAGTTATGAATAATGTGTTTGCTGCTATATGCATTCAATAAGGTCAAATGTGTATGAATATATGTCTTGCCTCTCATATCTGTATTTTGCTTTTTGTTCTTCCAGGACCATGTTTATGAGCTCCTCAACACAATAGATGCCTGTCAGTGCTTCTTTGATATTGTGAGTATTTGTGGAAGAGAGAAAAAAATTTTAACTGTGATGTTTGGTTACTAGGCATTTGTGCAACACATCTGGTCATACCATCTGCTCTTTCTATTCTGCATTATACATTGACACTCTCTTCTCTTGTTTCATCTCAGGGCAATGAGGAAAATAACATGTTTGATGCATGCATTATGAATGTCTGCCAGCAAAACTGTGATCTTACTTTTCTGTGATGTGATTGAAGTGATTTAAAAAGGTCTTTGTATGCCAAGCTAATACCCCAATCCTATATTTGCAGAAATAAAGCTGGTTACAGCTTTGAGAATAAGATTCTAACATTGCTGGTGTAAAAATATATTTTAGCAACATAATGACTTTTTCACAGCCTGGGGTTAAAGGCATACCATAGTTATATACATCTTTCACATTCAGTCACTGTAATTTTAGTGTCTAAACTGAGAGTCCTCTCTTCTATTTTCACTTTTTGTTAGGCCATCAATTTTGACTTCACTAAAAGCTACTTGGACCTGATCATTACCTACACCTCTGTCATCATTACATTGTCTCGTATTGATGACAAGAAAGCCCTTGTGGGAATGTTCAACTGCGCTCATGAGATGACCAATGGCAGCAGGTGCAGTCAGTTACACAGTTGTGTAGTTTAGCAGTTACCTATGTTTAACATGCATTATGTACCACATATTTACATAATTACCACTTGTTGTGCCTTGCAGTGACCCTTCCTACCCACGACTTGGACAAATGTTTGTTGAATATGAACATCCTTGGAAGAAACTCACTGAAGAATTTGGCCCTCATACAAGAGTAAACACTTAAATTTAACCGATAAACAGTGTTTTTAGTGCTATGTCAATACACACACTTGATTATCCAATGGACTTTTTGAAAACATCTGATAGAAGAGATTCTTAATTTTAATGTATATTAGCAAGATAATTCAAGTTCAGCAAAAACATTGCCAGCTGAATAATTGTCCTTAAGACTTTTAACTCAACTACAGGGTACGACATTCATTCATATTTGAAAATGTCCTATATTTTTGAGACTTGTGGTTTCTGTCCCAACCCAGTCAGTGACATCGGCCTTGCTGTCTCTGGGAGTGTTGTACCCTCGCAGAAACCTGCCAGCCGAGCAGTGGCGCAGTGCCCAGCTCCTGAGCCTCCTCAGTGCCCCGGCGGCCATGTTGGATCCAGCCTGCTGTGACACGGTGAGGAATCTCTCTCCCACTAACACACACAGGCCAGTATAATCCATTAATGACATGGGAGTTTGTGTGTCTGTCTTGGAGAGAAAATTAAAATAATAAATTCAACACAGCACATTGTTCTTGTTTGTCCACCCTGCGCAGTTTAAAATGGTAATATAATATTCTATTCAACTCAATCATGTTCAGTTATGTTTGAAAGATAATATTATTTATAATTTTATGCATATTTTATTCTTTAAGTGAATGTATTGTTTTACAGATGGCATGTGAATATCTGTCTCTGGAAGTTATGGAGCGGTGGATTATTAGTAAGTAGGCTCTAACACACCATCCTGGTGCATGCTTTTTGCTGTAACGTAGTAATGTGGTGTTACGGGAAAAAAATAATAATATTATACTCGGTACAAAAGTCAGTAATGCGCGTCACAATGCTTTTTAAAGATGGATTGATGTGGTGAGTTTTTCGTTTTTCTTCATGCAATTTTGCTAAAATCACCGCAATATTAGGAGTGGTGAAACGCCGGAGACGCGCCCAAGTAGACCATCAGGTACGCGCGGGCAAAAGGATCGACGCAGAACTTCACGCTCCACGGGGCGAACCGCAGCTGATGCCCGATCGCGCCTCGCAAACACCCTGTCTGCAAGGCGCTTCCAAGTTCTAGTCCAAGATTAGTCCTGGTTTAGTCCTGGTTCCGCTCTGGTTTAGTCCTACTTTAGTCCTGTTTTAGACCTGTTTTAGACCTAGTTTAGTCCTGGTTTAGTCCTTGGTTCAGTCCTGGTTTAGACCTAGTTTAGTCCTGGCCAGCTCTGGTTTAGTCCTGGTATAGACCTGACCTACGCTCGCGTATCCCCCATACGTGCAATGGAGCCGCCCTCATTCACTTTCCATGCATTCTAAAAGTTGCAGTTTTTATGCTGGAGTACGGCGAAATACCCATGCAGTGGATGGGATCCGTGCGGCTGGTAGCGCTGTGATGCAAAACATCCAGACAGAAGCGCGAAACCCGTTTGGTTGGTTATATGTTGTTCTGAGCGGTTCGTCCTTCACACATTTGGCTCTTCCCGGGGAAAGCGCTTCTCAGACCGTGGCACCTAACACCGCACCCTGACCTGAATCGGAGCTGCTCCCGCTGGTTCAGGACTCTGGTTTGGACCGCTTTTCCCCAGTTTGTATGGGCGTGTCCCCAAGCTTAGCTACAAACCGAGATGACAGATGCAGAAAAGCCGATAGCAGCTGAAGTGTGTGTTTCTTCCGGTCGACGTAAATACGTTTGTGTCCCTGTCCAATCAGAACCTCATTTCGGAATTATTATTTCTATTTAAACTCGAAGGAGAAGAATTTAATCCGAACTCAAGCAACAAAAAAACAAACAAACAAACAAACAAACAAAAACTCTCCGGTTCTGTGCTTGAGTGATCCAACTGACCAAGAAAAGGCGATTGTAGCCGAAAGTTTGCAAGTATGATAATATTATGTAAGCAGATGTAACTTTGAACTTAAAGTATTCATGGAGATACTATGAGTTCATGGAAGTATAGGGCTGGCCAACATAGTGATAAAAATCAAACTGTGAACCCACTCCATTGACAATCAACAATTTTGATAAAATTGCCATATTGTTATTTATTCAATCATTTTCTATTGAAAGCAGCCCTGTGCTCAGACAAAAAGTGAGTGACAGGTGTAACCAGGTGCAGTGAAGTGTCACCACCTTAGCTCTTCAAGACAATACAAGGATGGGTCCTACTAAGGTTACGTTAATCTTGATAAAACAAAAACGTTTTGAGTTGTGGATGGCATAAAGAAAATTGCGATGCAGCCTACATTGTTTGAGATATGATCCATCCTCTATTATTTGATCTTATATCTTATCTGTTTGCTTATAGCCATCTCTTCTTCTTTATTATCTTATGTTAATGCCTCCGTGCGTGTGTGTCGTAGTCGGCTTCCTGTTGTGCCACAGCAGCCTAAATATGCACCCACCTGCGCTGGAGCTGTGGAAGATGGCCCTGCGCAGCGGCCTCTACCTGACCCTCACCAGAGACGAAGTCCTCAACATCCACAAAGTCTCTGAGGACCTCTTTGACAACATAAAAGGGTAAAAGAACTAAGTATAAAGCGAAACAATGCCTTTAATCATACACTGCGATAATTATCTAAGTAAGTTGATTTTTATGTAGGCTGCTGCTCCACTCGGCTAATGAGCTGTAGCATGTACGCAAACTACATCACTCCAGGGACCGCAAGCTGCCATCTATTGGATAGATCCAAAAGTGCAGCTGAAGAAAAATAAGAAGATTGCATTGCAGTATTAAGTTAGAAAGAAGCCTAGTTTAAATTATCTTGATTTTTTATCTTATGCTATATATTCATAGACCCAAAATGATTGCACACTTTCTCACTGAATTCCCTATTCATCTTTTTTTTGTTTGTTTTTTGTTTTTTACTTGTCAGATATAGCAAGCGGGTTGCAGACATTAAGGAGGGCCGTGAATATGTCCTTGTAAACTGGTAAGTCTTTAATTGCTTACATTCAAAAGCCTGATACAAAAGTTATGTCCAGGAGGTGAATGTATGTGTTGTTTTATCTAGTGGGGCTATGCACAGAGAGAAGAGACACTATCTGAGAGGAGCATTGAAGGAGTTATATAATGTTCTGGAGGATGAACCTGGACTACTGGGACCCAAGGTAACAATCATAACCATAACACGCAGTGCTGGAGGAACATAAATTATTCATTAGAAGCCCTAAATTGGAAGTTGCTTCTGTGAGGAGATCACTGAGAGACCTTGTATTTCAGTGTTGTAGTGACTTTCTCTGTTGAAATGTGTTCGTACCTTATTTTTGTACATAAAATGTCTAGGCCCTGTACATCTGCATGGCTCTGTCATTCTCCAGAGATGAGATTCAGTGGCTTGTCAGGCATTCAGAGAGTATGCCAAAGATTAAGACTCCAGAGGACTATGTTGACAAGTAAAACAAGCTTTTAATAATGTAATGCTATGGTTGTATGGGAGTACTAACATAAATGTTTCTTGCATCTTTTGTCTTGCAGTCAAATGGCTGAGCTGCTCTTTTACATAGAGAAATTGCGAGACCTGATGACAAAGTACAGGCGTGTAGTACAGCGATACCATGTTCAGTACTTGGCTCAGTTTGATGCCCTTGTTCTTAACGATACTATACAGGTATGTGTGTCTTAAGAGAGCAAAAGTATATATGGAATGGAATGTTCCACAGTTTGGCATTAAATGTTTCTTTTTAAGAACATGTATGTGTGTCCTGAAGAGGAGTCAGTTCTACTGACTTCCTTTGTCTCAACTATGTCAGCTCTCTCCATCAAACAAGGTAACCAACACACACATGTTTTAACAATAATCAATACAAACATACAAATAATCAATTAAAACATCTAAACATTGCATTTTTCCGGCAGTTGATAACAAGGAAGAGTTTGATTTACAAGCACTGAGACTGGATTGGTTACGATTACAGGTTTTTACTATTGTATTATGCATTTATTACTGTTTGAAAACACCAGGCAATTAAATATTTCTCTTTTTTAGGCATATTGCAGTGTCAGCAAAGCTCCCCTTCCCATCAAAGAGTACCCAAATCTAGCAAAAGTGATGAATGTGATCCAGTTTCATACTAAGATGGTTGACAACATTGAAGAATTGCTATATGAGACCTCTGAATTGTCCATACTTTGGTTAGTACCTGCTTGACTTTTATTTCAAGATTAAAGAGTTCAACTAATTTCTCATTTTTTTGTCTCCAGTTTCTACCCTCGTGTGTTTGAGAAGATGTTCAGTCAAAGCAGTGATGAGATGAAGCGCTTCCTGATGTCATTCCCATCCGTCTGCTCTCACTTCAGCTACTGTGGACACCCCCTCTGCCCAGAAGAGGTCAGTCTTCTCTTGTGTGCTGCTTCAGTGCTCTCAGATTAGAAAGGAAGGGTATATTATCTATTTTTACCCTGTAATCATGGCAACTGAAATGGGTGTTTGAAGCATACACAAACCTTAGCTTTTGCTTTAATATGATATAGTGCACAGGAGTGAAAATAACATAAATGGAGAAATGGACAGATATTGCTGCTCTAAAGTAATTAGAAAATGCTATGGAGTACTATCAAAATGTGTGCATGTATCAAGCAAATACGGATTCTAAATTGCATTGACTGTGAGTGTGAATGTATGTTTTGGCTGAGAGTTACTTAAACTTGGATCCTAACAGAAAAAAGTAGACAATGAAAAACAATTTTTCTTAACTATCAACACATAGAACTTATGTTTGTATTCCAGACAGACGCAGTGGAGAAGAGGAGTCTGCGCCTGTGTGTGACTTTCCTGGAGCAGATAGCCAAACAGACCAGCAATGTCATCTTAGAGATTTGTGCAGAGCAGTGTATGCTCCACGACCAGGTAAAATCACATTATCTGCCAGAATGCAATCTCTGCTCCTTATTCTGAATGTGATTATGGAAGTCACAACTTGGTTTAGCTTTAGGCAAGAGTTAAAACATAAAAATTTATCTTAAGCCTTTAAAACTTTGGAGTAGAATAATACAGGGTTGTTTATTCAATCCCTTGAGTAAAGTCAGATTCAATAGTTTATGTTTCTACTGGATTCTTGCTAAGTGACTGTGAAATTTCCCATGTTTGTCCTCTTTTGTTGATTCCTGCTGTTTATTGCACTTACAGTCTTTCTCAAAATCTTACTGCGCCTTTCTTTCTCGAATAGTTGCTGCCTAAGCACTGTGCAGAGACTGTCAGTGCAGCTCGCTACAGAAAACAAAAAAAGCCAGTGCCAAAGAAGGGAGAAGTGCAAAAGGAGAAACCGGGGGCAGAAAGCCTCAGGAAAGACCGCACAGTTGCCACCAAGTCAGTCTAATTCAACTCCATTACCATTTAGACTTCATTACATACAGTACATACACTGTCTACATACACTGTCAGACTGGATCACATCATTCAAAATAATATATTTCTTTATTATTCCATTGAGGCGGAAATTATAGGTAATTTATTTATATGACGCATGTTGAATTTCTCGGTCAAACACTGGGGACAGAAATACACAAATCGCCTTAAAAGGAATGGGACTATTTCACATCTTTACCATCTGCAATTGTTTCATAGATACACATTTTGAAAGTGTTATTGAACATTGTGTGTGCAATTTCTGTTATATAAATGTTGTAGTAACAGAAAGTAAAGAACATAACCTAAACCTGATAACTTTGCTCTACCCAACCCAAAACTACAGTGCTTCTTTTCTACTATATAGCAATACTATCATAAATGGTAAATTTGCCTCTAGTTTATTTCAGTGTTTGAGAGACTTGAACAGAATTGGTCATCACTGATATAACTGAGTCACTGTTTGTGATTAGGTTTAGATTGGAGCTGTTCATGTTCATAAAAAAAATCTCGGCTGACATTTTCTAAATGGGCTCTCTCCCACATACTTCCTTCAATGCATTGTCTATTAATAGAAGAAAATCTGCATATGCATGAAACAAGAGAACTTAAGAATGAAATCCATTACTGCCAGAGTGTCCCAGAATACATCATATTATAATAGTATGTTTATTGTTTTTACAAGTGTCTGTGAATAGGACAGTGTTAATAACTGATGGTATTGCTCCAGTTAAATACAGACTCCTAAATCAGTTCTGTGTATTCATTCATGTCATATTTTTGTTACTAGTGTGGACAAGATGCACCTGATGTTAACAGAGCTGTGCTCTAGCTACAGCCTCAGCTCGGATCTTATCGTATTTGAGCACATTGTGGTTCCTACTGAGTTCCTACTTTCTCATCTGGAGACACGCCTCGCTGAGTATGCTGAATGAACACACACACACACAATTTTACTGTAGTTAAATGTGCGTCCTTTATAAAGTCAGTGAACATGACAGGATGTAGGATATAGATAATAGACTTCTTATTTAGTCGCACTTCGCTATATTCACAAAAGGAAAATATATAATCCAAAAAACTATGATATTTTAATATCATTGTATTTTTCAGATTCTTATGCTGGCATAATTATTTGTGATTGTGTAGATAATTAGGTTATAGACATACTTGATGACGGGATTCATCAGTCCCTTGAAAATGGCAAAATCACATAATTATTGTACATGCCAGTAGACATTGTAGAAGATGTAGAATAGCTGTTCACAGTGGGCAGCTTTTAATCTCTGTTCTTTGTAAGAACAACACAGAACGTCAGGCTTTAGCTGGTATAAAATCTCCCAGTTGTGCAGTTCTCTTCTACAGTGACATGATGTGACAAAGCACCAGAAATAGCTGTCTGCTGTATGGCTTCTACTTGGATGTTTTTGTCTTGAAAATCAAAATAAAATGTCCATCCATCCCAGTAATGGAGCACATGCCAGAGTGTGTTCTATCAGGTTCAAAAAAGTTCATGCAAGATTTGTTCAGTGTCAATTTGAGGCTTTACCGTATATTTAGATTAGTCCTGGTACTAGGGCAACTCTTATTGTATATGTTCTGTTCAATGTCCCTGCTTTGGCTTATGATTATGTTTTCTGTCACCCTAAATTTAGCACCCTTTAGTGAACTTAATGGTCTCTTTACGGAAGTGTTTGTAATAACTGAATACATTAGGACAGTGGAGAAATATGAAACCTGACAAACAAACATGCAGTTAATATAGGCCTGGAGCAGTCATTGTGCTAACCTAATGAGACTGGTGCCATGCCTCCACTGTATGCCTCGTTTAACCACTTTTAAAGTGCTGTCTGTCCAGCTCACGTCCACTGTAGATAGTTGATAAGTGACATTTCCCAAACATGTTTTCCTCCAGGATCATCGTGAGAATGGCCAATTTCAACCAGGCCACCCAAGAGATAGCACGTCCATCTGACCTTCTGGCTAGCATAAGGGCCTACATTGCCACTTTGCAGACCCTAGGCAGCTACGTCAATGTGGATGTTACTCGCATGGTCAAGAGTGTTCTCCTGCAGCAAACCCAGCCTCTGGACTCCCATGGTGTACAAACTATCACCACCTTATACACAAACTGGTATGTAATGTAAATATGAGTACATACAATTTATAGGAGCTATCACAAATATACAAATCTGGTAATGTTCAATATAATGTTCAATAATAGAGTAAAACACTATAATCTATCTGGCAGTGATTAGGATAAACATGCAGACCATTTTTACTATTTTACTGTAATGTAAAAAAAACCTTATACCCCAACCTTTATATATATAAATTATCATTAACATTACCATCTGTTCTATTTAATAACATATTGATGCACAGAAAGTAATGCTCTACTGCATCTGTTTAAGATTACCTTAAGTTATTGCACTGATAAATACTAAATCATGTATAGTCTTGTCTCCTGTCTTTCTTCACATTCTAATCTAAAGCTCAAAGTGTGTTTGCTTTTAATCTGCCCCAAAGGTACCTGGAGAGTCTACTGCGTCAGGCAAGCAACTCCTTCATCGTCCACTGTCCCACAATGCACTGCTTTGTCAACCAAACCACAGACAATGAGCCCAGTTTCAAGGCAGAGGAGTTCTCAGACATATCAGGTCAGACTACAACACGAAACGCATCTTAAAAAGTTCTCGTACAATCCTACTGGCATCACTACAGAATCATAATACCATTGACCTATAAAGGCATCATGTAGTTTTGGTTTGGGTGAGAAATTTACTGTTTCTTGACAAAATCATCATATTTTTGTCAGCACTAGTACATTTAATAACCCTTGCATCACTCATTGGAACAAATTGCTTCTGTTTCTCCATTAGAACCATGCAGAGCCACAAAAACCTACTGTAAACAGCAAAATGTATTTCATTTCTTTCTGTAGTAGAAATCAGATTTTGCAGTTTCCGTGTCATTTACATAATTTTAAAAGTCCAGAAATCAGATTGTGAACAAAGCCACTGTTGATCTTATGTCAATTTCAAATGCTTATAACTTCACTGTATCATAGGAACTGTAGACTGCCTGGTGAAAAAATAGAAACATTACGATTCACACTGTACTCCACATGGACACCATTACACACAACTACGCCTCCTCACGATTGTCTATATTTACTTGTTGTGAGTCACCACTGGTTTCAATCACTCTCTCAAAAGAATCTACTTGCTGTTATAACAACAACTATATATAACTTTTTATAATATTAGTATATGTTATAATTAACCTCAATAATACCTATATTATTCATTTAAACAGAGTTGAGAGCACTGGCTGAGCTCATTGGCCCATATGGTCTGAAATTTCTGAGTGAGAACCTGATGTGGCATATCACCTCTCAAGTCAGTGAGATCAAGGTAAAGTCTGTGGAATTTGGTGTGTGTGCGTGTGTGTGTGTGTCTGTGTGTGTGTGTGTGTGTGTGTGTGTGTGTATATATATATATATATATATATATATATATATATATTTTTTTTTTTCTCGCATGTCATGGTAGTATATATATATATATATATATATATATATATATATATATATATGTGTGTGTGTGAGAAAAAAACGGATAATTTTTTTTTACCATATAACATAAAAAACTCAACTTATTAAATAATGCTCCCAGAAAGTATTTTTATAGCCTACTTGAGACTCTTTGACAAGGCAAAAAACACTTAACCAGGTTCTGGACAGAACTACTAATAAAAAGTTAAAAAGTGCTTGACTTTGGTCAATGTCTGCCATTTTCTGGGAAGTTAAAAGGTTGTTGATCTGGTCTGAACAATGTTTTATTCCTACTTTGTGTATAATACACATATAATATATGTGTAATAAGGACTGCTCTTTGGCCAGGCCTCTCTTGAAAATGTGAATCTAAATCTCAGTGGGACTATCCAGGATAAATGACATAAATAATCAAACTCGTTCACCTTGGATTGAAGGATGAAGGCTCTGATCTCACTGACACAGGATCTGTCAAGAAGATGGCTCAAGATATGTTTTTTCACTTATATCTTGGGGTGAATTTTATTGACTTTGTTCTCCTCTGTCAGAAACTGGTGATTGAAAATATGGACGTCTTGGTACAGATGAGGAACAATTCTGACAAGCCTGAAGAGATGGCCAACCTCAAGAGGAGATTGACAGGTGAGAGGGGATAGAAGAGGGAGACATGCTGGACAGATGTGGGGGAGATTTGCTAAAGCTGTACCAAAATCTTTATAAAAACCTTTATTCCTCATAAAGGTGGAGAGAACATGCTGAAGAGGATGACAATCATTGGCGTGATCTTGACATTCAGATCAATGGCAAAGGACTGTCTGAAAGATGTAATGTATCCCGACTTGGAACACATTTCTATTATATATATTTTGATTTGATATGATATTTTGATTACTGAAAGCTACACCATTTTTGTTCCTGTTTTTGTTCTGCTCTGTTTTTGATTCATTTGGGGGACATGGGGTTATTTGGGGATTGGTATTTGGTTTTGGTATGTATTATTTAAGATTCAGAATAAATTGTATTTTACTTACAGTATATTTACATAAACACATTTCTTAATGACACGTAGCCCACTGATATAATCTGATTTACATACAGACCCTGGAGAGGCACTGTCCTTACCTGATGGGGCCCATTGGGTGCCTGAGAGATTTCATTACTCCTGAAGCCGACATCAAGGTACCTCTACTTCATTACAGTTAATGTAGCTTCTATGGCACATAGCGGTTTGCATGGATTTACACTTTTACTCCTTGGCATGAATTTCTTTTTCTCTATTTCCTCATCTGGGAGCTTTCTTTTTGTTGTTGTGTGCCTCACATCAAAGATGCTCTCTGAATATCATATCTCCTCTGGTGGGACAATAAAGATCTTGAACTCTGTGAATGTTTCCCAGTGGATGGACAAGATGTGAAAGTTATACTGGCGTTTAGTTGAGGGGGGAATGTACTGGTTATGTATTCATCATAATTTCATATAAAATTAACAGATATTCTCAGAAGTGATTTTTTATTGCACTTGATTAATCATGAAGTTTGCCCAAATGCAGTGTATTGTATTTTTATTTGCAACTTAAATTGGACTTTAAACAGTACGATATTGCACAACCTAAAGTGAAGCAATATATAAATATGTCCCTGTAAGCCTTCCAGAGTGGCATAATATCGCTAGCCAAATGAAATTCCTTATCTCTCTTTGGAGCAACTTCACCCCCTCCTCTCACCTCCTCCTCTTCCCCCTTTTCTCACTCCGCACTTCTGGCCCTACATCTGAGTGAGCTATGGGGGACATGCCACCTCCCGCTCCTGGATAACCCCTTAGACGTCAGAAAGCTGCTGGTGCCTCTGTGAGAGACCCATCACATCAGTGGAAACTGAGTGCCCAGACAGGCCAAACATACAGGCATTACAAATAAGGAAAGATCACTAACCTCCTTCTAAAATTAGGTCCAGAACATAGCGGAATGTCATTTACTGGTCAAATAAACGGTTCCTCCTAACTGTCCCGCTGTCTTATTAATGCCATAAAAAGCATCCTAAACCATGACTTTGCTTCCTGACTGATCCTGCAGGTGACCCTCAGTGTGTATGAACTGGCCTCAGCTGCAGGATTGTCATGTGATATTGATCCAGCTCTTGTGGCAGCCATCAGTAGCATGCAAACAGGTAACAACTCCTATAATTCAATGGTCTACAAATTGTGTTGGTAAATCTCGAAAAACAGCGTAGACTCCAATTATACAACAATTCTGCACATTGCACATTACATTGTCTTCTTTTTAATAATTCAAATATTTATTGATTTTCTTAATCGATTAAACAAAGAAGACAATTGGAGACTGCACAGGCCTTCATTTACATTTAACCATTTAACCATCAACAGTTCTCACGAGCAACATTGCCCTTTATTCTCTTTCCACTTTTTTAGTGTAGGAGTATTTGGTTCCTTTTACTCGTTTTTGGTAGTAACTTTCCTCCTGTTTGTTTCCTAGACAACACTTCAACTGATGACGAGTATAAGCTGTCCTATTTACTGCTGGTCTACATTGCTGTGTCACTGCCTTTATTAGCCCTGGATCCTAACTCCTGCTACACTCGGCAACATGGAGGTAGGCAATATTGACAAAATATTTTTCCCATTATCTCGATAACAATATTCAGATAGTATTTATCAATGCATCAGGAATGTGCTAAAATATGCCTGTGCCCAAAAATGAACCACAATAAAGCAGAAATATGACTTTATAGACTTATTTGGGAGATTTCTTTTAAGGTAATTTTTTTTTTTATTATAGAAAATAATTACAGTAATTACAATCATTTTGCATTAAAAAAACAACAAGTGTGATATTGTCCATTTTTATATAGCTCCGTCCCTATTTAAAGGTGCATTTAGATTCAAATTAGGCCCGCAGCCACCACCAAATCCCTGTTCCTGTCATTAATAATCCCCACCCAAAAAATACGCCTCATTAACATTTTTACATCTTGCACTTTCCAACTTTACTCATGTGGTTTTAGTCAAAGTATCCTTCTTAATTGGAACCACATTTTCTAGAGATTTTTGTTTACAGATAAGTTTGGTCTGACGTGGATTGGTACAGTAACTATTGACTTGTGGTCCTCTTGGCTTAATTTCCTCACTGTAACATTAAGGGCAGCTTAGATTTCTATCAGTGCAAAGGGTGCGATTATTCTCTTTTATTTTTCCACTAGTCCACTTTGAAATCACAAACACATAAGCCTCTGGAAAAAGTAATTCAGGTCATTAGGTAGCGTTCATTAATAACACAATCATAAAAACCTCTTCTCATGGATACAGGGCTTGTCGTTAGAACTCAAACATTAAAATCAAGATGCCTCTGTAGTCTCTAGTCGTATACATAGACTTGGCATGATAAAGTAAAGTAAATAGAGACAATAAACGATAATATTGAAATTAATTTATGCCACTGACACAATAACCCAAGAGCCAGAAGAGCCACAAACCACAAAATATATACTAAATCTACAATAGTGTTAAAAAATCATGAGCTGCAATAAATAAATAGCAGAATGAAATGCTTTAGTACTTAGTTGGCATCTGTAATGAGTCATAGAAGATATTAATTAAATTTATTTTTATCATATTGTCAAAAAATGACTAAAAATGTTACGTTAGTTGTGCAAGAAAATGAACAAAAAAATATTGTTCCAGCTTTCATATATTGAACAACAAATCAATTTAGTAGTTACCAGGACAGGCCTAATTATATGAATATTTACAACAATACAACGTTTTTTTTTTTTTATTAATGTTTATTTTTGCAAAGTAGCAGAATCTGTGTTTATTTTTGAATGAATACTTGAACAACCTACCCAGTCTAACTACCTAAATATCTAAAACTGGGTAACTGGATATTATTACAAGGGGCGAATACCAGTGATTCAATTTATTTCTTTTTTTTTCTTTTTTTTTTTTTTTCTTGAAATATGCTAGGTCACAACAATAACATCCACTGTTTAGCTATGGCCATCAACCAGCTGTCTGCCGCCATGTTTACTGTCCAGAACAAGAACATCGAGCAGCACCTCAAAGACTTTCTCCTGGTGGGTGAGAGCCACGTGCCTCAAAGAACATGTTGAATTATGTCACTGTTTTGTCATAATTCCAGTGTTTTAAATAAATAATTTCTTGGGCACTTTGTATTTATGTTCAAATGGTTTCCCAAGACCTTCCTAACCTTTGTCCTGGCTGAGGTCACATGCACCACTGTCAAATCATTTAACTTTTTTGATGTCTTTTCACATTGCAATACAGCTGGCGTCATCCACTCTTCTTCAACTTGGACAGAACTTGGAACGGGTGGAGAGCAAGAATCGAGAGGCCATATACTTGCTTTTACACATGGTAAAGCTCTTTTTTAACACATATAGTACTTTTTAATTAAGAATGTAGATGCCCTGTGTCTTCAATGTATGTAATTACATCACTACACAGCCTTTAATGCTGTCTAAAATGCCTAAAATGCAGTGATTACTTTTGAAATTGACCCAAATTTAAAGGTACACTATGTACTTTTTTTGAGTCTGTCATCTGCTTGTTTCCATGGAGATCATATCTCTTTGCTTATATTGTTCTTCTGGGAGAAGAGCAGCTGACCAGGCCAAGTTACCGGGAAACTTGCAAGATGGATATGTTTAATGCCACACAGTAGAGCATTCCAGCACCAGAAAAGTTATATAGTGCACCTTTAACCACTTAATTTGATTCTTCCATTCCTATGACCACTGGCTGGAAAACACAAACACTGCTGTTAACTAGTCATCTAATTTGCACCAAACTCTCTTAAATATTTACTCTTTTAGTAATGTAATGCATGTTCAGTATAGTATTACTATTTTGCTTACCAGGTTGTTTCTTTCTTCTTGTTACTCAGATCGTGGAAGAGTCTCCCTTTTTGAGTCAGGACATGTTGGAGAGCTGCTTTCCTTATGTGCTTCTCCGAAATGCCTACAGAGAAGTGTATAGATCCTTTATCATCACTGTGGGATAATTTACTCTGCTTAGTATTGGCTTACAGCTGGTAGTGTGCTGGAGAGGAACCTTTGATTAACCATACATGGTTGGGCAGTGCTCTTAATGTTTCTAGGAAATGCACCATCCTCACATGACCTATGTATTTTTATTTTTTTTTCAAAACAAAAATTTAACAACATTAACATATTTTGTAAAAATGCCTTTAATTTTTTGTCACCATATACATATTATAGCCTATTTAAGTGTTTTTATTTAAAAAAAAACAAAACAAAACTGTAATCTTGCTTTTTTCAGTATTTTCAGTAGTTTTTTCATATGTCAATTCAACATTAACAAATAGTAGCTTTAGCTTATTTGTGTTGTTGCCAATAGACAAAAATCATGTAGTCACTTATCTGCAGTCTGTTTACACCCTCTTTGGCTTATGTGTTTGTTTTGCTAACATGCATCTGTTTAATAACAAATCCATGCACCTCCAAATATAACTGTTGAATAAAATAACCACACAGTGCAGCAAATTGAAGCTCAGTACCTTTGTCTGTTTATCTTTCATAAATTAAAATGAATCCGATGTTGAAATATTGCACATGGCATGTGAGGTGACAGACTTGATACTAATTCAAGAAGTCCTCTTGTGGAATGATGTGTCCCTGAAGCTTTTGCCCTGAACTGGCTAGAGATATGTAGTCTGTTTGGTTGCCACGCTAGAGATGTTCACTTTGTGATTGTCTGTTTGTTTGGTGTATTGTGTAATATCTTTTCACAAGAGAATTCAATTCCCTCTGTAAGAACAGGGAAACCTTATGTAAACACACACTTGCACTGACAGATATATTAATATATATGTGTATATATATATATATATATATATATATATATATATATATATATATATATGATATCTTTAATCGTGGCTATCCATTCCATTGGAAAATTACTTTTTTTAACAAAGGTAGATCATCGATTGATAGTCCATTCATAATGCAGCTCAAGCATTTGATATTTACAGTATATTTCCACAGTCTAATGTGTTGTCATACAGGCTCCTCTCTTGAGATGTGCCCTGGTGGAAACTTTGGCTCTGATATTGAGCTCTCTGCTGATTATGTTGGTGACGCGTAGCTCCTCTGCTGATTGGTAGAGCAAGCATCACAGAATGGTACTGATATACCAGAACTGTGGGTCAATATATTGTAGAGTGTAGAAAAGGCTGGGTGTTAAACTGAGAATAAACAAAGAGGCCCATTAATATAAAACATGCAGACTCTATCTGAAGAGACCCAGATGAGATTTAGAGCAGGACGCATGCTGCAGGGGGTCATGACACCTATGTACAGGATACACAGTGTGTGTGATGGATGGCTCGGGCGCTACACATGCAAGACCACACAAGAAAGGTAAGCCTCTTCTAACACTATTTGTTTATCAACCTATTGTCTCATCTACTTTAAATAGACCCTCTTGCTGAGAAAACGAGGGCAGTGTAAATTTGCTTTGCCAACAAATAAAACAGCATGGTTTTGTTCTTTTGTTTTTATGTTTTATGAATAAACTCAGCTGAATGCAGACAAAATTATGATTAGAATGAAAGCACTTATCCTTGTGTTGAAATGTCCCTGTGAATGTATGTAGGACATAATAAAATTAAGATTACAAATTTTAAAAAACTATGCCACTATGTGTTTTGCCACAATAAACCTCTCTTGCATGAAAACTGAAGACAGACTAGACAGTCTAGTTTATAGAAGAAAAAGAGATCTATAAAGGAAATAGGTCTGTCATTTTGAGGAAGCCCTGCCCCTTTGGCAAGAGGAGGAAATCAAATCTGAGCCCTGCATTGTGGAGGAGCCCTTAAGTTAAATTTGTGCATAGAAAGAAGGTAATGTTTTTGTTTGGGCTTTTTTTTTTTGGTTATTTTGGATATTTTTTATAACATTAACCTACTTCAAGTTACAAAAAAAAAGTAGCCATAGTATGGCTAAGTAAGAAGTCTGTGCTAGGATTTGTATCTGTAGCATATAGGGAAAGTGTTAAAAACCAAAAGGTTTGTGTAATCTAAATTAGTAGCAATTTATTGATAAAGAAATATGTTGGCTTAAAATGTGGGCAACTGAAACATACTGTGTTGGTTATCTACAGTAAAGCCTGTTTGTTAGGATCAACAGGTGAGCCATTAAATGTGGATTCACTGCACCATATAACCATCTTTGTATGAATGGTGTTTAGAAATTGACTGTTGTTTGCATTAATATGGACAAACATAGTTTCCTACTTGGACTGATACCAAGAAAATGTTTTTGCCCTTTGACCTTTTGACCAATGTGTAAAGCTAAATACAAATAACCACTCTCTCTTGACCCTTTCAGACATGTCTTAGATGTTAGAGTTCCCATGCACCAGTATTAGGAAATGATTTATTGGCTGCAAAATCTAATTGCAGCTTTGAAGTGCACCACATGGAGTAATTATTGCCTTTGGTCACTGTGCACAGGGAGATCAGAGAGGAAACACTTTTCAAATAGGACAAAAAAAGAAAAGACACTCAAAACCTGTAGTCTTATTACATTACATTATCTGTGTGACCAGTTCAGTCATGTTATGCCTTATCAATTTTAGTATTTAGGGCCTGGTATAAAAGGCACTTGATGTTTTCATTTTGCCATTGTGCCATGTCAAAGAGCATGGGAGCCAGAGTGAGCAGAGCAGGAGCAGTGTGGAGGGACATCAGGCAGGGGCTTTCCAACGCACACAATGGTGGTCTAGCACAACTTGTGTTACAGGAGAGATTTGTAATAGTTTTAAGGGCATTTTATATATAGATGTCATAATTATATATAGATGGTTTAATGGTTATCTTGAGACTCACAGAATGAAAGATTCAAGTTTTACTCAAAGCAAGTTGTGCGTGTGCAGATTGGTATAACTATTAACTACATAATTATCAGAGGAGTTCTGAAGCATTTTTTTTTTCATGGTCTCAGGAGAACCATTGCAGATCATGTCATAAGCCCAAGCTTCTTGTTTTTTGTTCCTTGGGAGATGAGTACAACTATACCATGTGTTTCAATGTTTGGGATCACTGGTTCTCCACAAGGTACAGCTCTTGCCCCAATTCAGTTTAGCCTATATATTAACTATTGTTTTTAATTTCAATATTAAGCTATCCTCTTATATTGTTATTGTGATATTCAAAGCTATAATTTGGAAAATATCCTTTGCTTTAGTTCCTACTGGTGTCAGTAAGGGAGATCTGTGGTCCATGCAGCATTGTATGAAATAATATGTTTTATTTTTATTTTTATATTATTATATTAGATTTTTCCTAAGAACAGCAGGCCATGTATTGAGCTGTTGTGGGCGGCTCTCGAGGATGGCCTTTGTTTGTGTGTTTTGGTTGGGGGTGACTGCTGGGTTTCTGTCAAAGAGCCTCTGTGCAGCGCCCTGAATTGCGTCCGTGGTGGAAAATTCTCATTTGGGATTTGAGTACACATGGTCTGAAAACCTGGCAGTCCACACTTGATCAGTGACTTCAGCTCCCTCTCACTTCACAAACAGCAGGTTTACACATTCAACACACACTGACAGTAGTCTGGGCTCTGTCAGCCAATCACAGCACAGAGGAGACACCCCCCTGCAGTGGGCGGGAGTGCTGCTGAAGCACAACTCTGTTTCAGGACACACAAGTTTGAGTTGGTGGTTTGGACAACTTTTAGGCTTGCCCATTTTATTGTATACATTGACTAATAGATTTTTTTTCTGGTGAGTTCAAAATGGCTGAACTTGTGAGAATACGAAGGAAACGGCTACAGGTGCCCATCTCTAGGTAAGACATAGGGTTCAGTTGACTCAAAGAGCTTGTACTATTTGAACATTAAGCATTTGGTGGTATTTTAGCAAGAAAACACAACTTTTATCTACTAACCATCTACTGCATGCTGTCATAACAATACTTGTAAACAAGTGTCTCACCATTACACCTTTACAATAGAAAAACTTTCCATGATGAAAGGAGAAGTATCACAAAACAGTACAATTAATAGTTTGCACCTTTGGTGTCAATAAAATAAGTTGTTGCATAAACTGCAGTTTGGATACTCTACTGTCAGAACAGATTTTTTTTCAGTATTTGTATTAGTTTATTCCTCAGTGGTGACATACACTAACTCCACTCAAACTGTCTTTAGAGTAATGTCTAGTTTATGTGGTGCTACAGAGAATGATAGTGTTTTGTTTTGGTTAACTCTTTGTATCCTGTGTGTTTGCTTGGTTATTCCAGGGAAACCCGCAGATTTCTGAAGCTCTGTAGTTTACACTCATAGGTGTGGCTGTATATTATCTTGACATGAGCCAGCTGTAGCCCTTATTCATAGCTATTCTACAAAGGAGGATTGTCATTTGTCTCTGTAAACACAGTTGCACTTAATGTGAAATTTCCTGTAAGTGTTTGTAGTGAAACAATATGAGTATGCTATCAGTAAGATTACTGACTGTATAAATGAAGTCCCAGCTTTTGCATGTGTGCTATTTTTATGACAACAGCTTTTGAAAGGCCTCTGCCAGTGCGATAAACACTTGTAAGCCATAAGGGTTGGCTTATGATATAGTCTGGTATACTTATTTGTACAAAATTCCTCAAGAAATACTCACATGCAGTTGAGTTGTGGCACAATAGTGAGTGCATTTTTCTTCGTGGCAGGAAAAAAAATTACATGACTTAAATAATTTTTAATAAGCGAGACATTTTTCATCTTGTCAGTGAGTGTTTGCGACTTACTGCTACAGGGGCGGTTGAGTCATTGCTGAGGGTAGGAAGACTTGGTTTCTGTATTGATAATGTATGCATTTTAAAACATAGATCTGCATCCATTTCCCTTTTTATAATTCAATATACTGTAAACTTTCAAAATGTTCTCATGTAAACACAAATGCCATAGTTTTCATCAAGTCCACTTTGACAGAATGTGCCTTACATAGCCAAGAGCCATGGGAAGTTTTCCTCTAAGAATATTTGGCACCAATGATACCCTCTCGTCATTGGTTGAATTCTGACATCTTGGCAGAGAAATGACTTCCAAGCAAGTCATTTCCATTTACAAATCTTATTACCTGTGTTAATTATAAACATGGTTTCCATAGCTTTAAGGTTTTGGAGTATAAATATTTGATGTTTGTAACTTCCACTTCAGTGTTACAATTATTCAAAAGGCAATCTTTGTATGAGGATCTCTCATCCACAGTCTTAATGTTTTCCCTTACTCTCTTTGTTCTTTTTCAGGCTAAGAAGTATGCTGAAGCAGCTTGAAGAGAAAGAGGTCAACTTTGAGGAAATTAAAAATAACTTGGATATTACAGCATCACTGCTCGAGGCAGTGTACCTCGATGGAACGAGGTACAGAAATAATATGATGAAACACAACATTTACACTCTGTCTCAGTCTATGGGTTTTTTGTATAAGTTTGCAGTAACTTGTCCATAAGATGAAATATAGTAGTTTGGGGTCTTACAGGACTATGTGATTCTGTTCTGTTCTGTTTCTCCATAGGCAGTGTCTAGAGTCAGAGGACGATTTGCAGCAGTTGCAGTCCGATGGGGTTCCTTCCGAAGTCACAGACTGGCTGGCTTCCACCTTCACTCAGAAGATCAGACGTCCCCTTAGAAGATCAGATGAGAAACCCAAGTTTCGCAGCATTGTTCATGCAGTCCAGGCAGGCATATTTGTTGAGAGGTAATTCAAAATAGCGTACCAACCTTTCATTATTTATTACTTATTCTCTTTTTCTAATGTAACTCAACACAGCAGAGTTGTTATTTTAGTAATATAGTCACTCACTGATCTTTAAAAAAAAGCCTAATCTTACAAATCTGTAGAACATTCTTCTAAGTCAAGAAAAGACTATGTAGAATTTAAATAAACATCTCCTGAGACAAAATGGCTGCACTGTGTCAACACATGAGCTATAACTAAATTCAGCATAAACACTGCATTATTCCAGGATGTTCAAGAGGTCCTACACGGCAGCCCTCCCAGACCAGCCTTCAGCGGTCGTAAACTGCCTCAGGGTAAGCACTGGCCATTCATAAATCTCACAGGCCAAACATTCTCTGGAAACACCCGTTTACATCAATGCCATCACTTCTGACGTAGGACGTGGACCGCTGGAGTTTTGACGTGTTTGCCCTGAGCACAGCCAGTTCAGATCACGCACTACATACAATCGTCTTTGAGCTCATCGCCAGATATGACCTCAACAACAGATTTAAGGTTTTTCCTTTATAGTCTTAGTTGATATACTTGTCATTTTAAACAGTGAACTATTATAACACTTTGTTATTGACATAAATAAACTTGAGACCCACCACTATTGCTTTACTCACATTTTCTCGTATAATGCATGTTGCAGATCCCCATCTCCAGTCTGACGGAGTTCCTGTCTGCTTTGGAGAGAGGATACTGTAAACACAACAATCCGTACCATAACCACATGCACGCCGCTGATGTGACCCAAACCCTCCACTGTCTGCTACTGCGCTCTGGACTCGTGGTACTCACTCAAGCACAGCTCTCATAATCCTCATTCAATTAAATGATAACACACTCATAATTACCATCGAGAAAATGTTAAATCAACCCAGTTCAAGTCTGTGTCCATTTGTAATGTACATTTACAGTGCATGCATAAATACAAATGTAGCCTATGCTATTTAAGAAAGGGCTGGATAGTATTTACACTGCACAGAATAAAACATTATGAGCAGAACTAATAATCTACAATACATGTTCTTTAGAAGGCAAATATATAACAATGTACATATTTTGTCTCTGTGTTTTAAGCACTGGTTGACGGAGCTTGAAGTAATGGCATCTTTATTTGCTGCAGCAATCCATGACTTCGAACACACAGGAACAACAAACAACTTTCACGTCCACACAAAGTAAGTGGATGTTTTATTAAGCACTCAGCTGTACACATGCCTCCCGGGGGTAAAGTAGCGTCACAGATGTTTTCAAATATCCCATGTACAGTTTCTGGAAGGCTGGCCGTTGGACAGCACGCACATTCACGGGGTAGTGTTGTATTTTTAGATGTGTGTGGATTTTCCACATCTGAGGCTGAAGATGGCATGCTCATAGTAATACTTTATTTTGTTAGTGAAAAACAAAAACACTCATCAGTTTCAATAGCCTTGGCTGATAATAATAACTGTCAATTCTTCATATTCTCTTCAGTAACGGCACAGTTATTAGGATCACAATTAAGTATTCTATTTCAAATATCATTCTGGCAAGGCTGTATTTCTTTTGTGTGTTCAAGGTCTTTTACTGCCTGCACAAATATACTAGATAGAAAGATATCTATCTGGCTTCTGCAAGGTTAACTCTTTGTTCTGCGTAAGATGAGACAAATCTGTGTGTTTCAAGGCCTCTCTGGAATTATATAATGCACCCTCACTAAAACTTGTGTCCAATTACTGGATAGAAAAACAAAATTAATTTTCCTTTTGATTTATATAATTAGTATTCAATCAATGGTAAAGTTTGGCTTTCTTTTGTTTATTGTCAAGGGGAGAGAATACCATTGCCATTATGGTTCTGTTATGATTTTTTGTTTTTGTTTATATTTTCCACCCAAAAGCAACTTTGTAATTACACTAGATTATGGTTTGATTAGGTGTGTGATTTATTAAGGGGGGGCTGTATGGCTCTGTGCATTACAGTTAGCGACCTCATCCATTTTATAGTACCAAGAAAACTGCACTAAAAACAAACTGTGCTCTTGTTTTCCAGGTCGGAATTTGCACTTATCTACAATGACCGGTCTGTACAAGAAAGCCACCACCTCAGCGCGGCGTTTCGTCTCCTGCAGAATGACAACATGAATATATTTTTAAATTTAACACGAGAAGAATGGATGTAAGAATTCATGTTTGTATTTTGCACCTTCTGTTTTAATATGATCATTTATGATTACTTTTTACTGTTTGTTTACACAATTTACAGTGTAGTCGAATATACCATATCCAGTACTATACCTAGTGCTAAAACTTATGCTATGTGTACTCACTCCTGCCCACAAAAAAAGAGAAAAACATTATAATTTTATAAAAGGAAAATTGTGATGTGATGAATGATGTGACAGGCTGGGACTAAATCATATCATTATGGCTGCATCTTGACCCAGACCTTTAAACTCTGGTGTAAAATTTCTGCATAAATCAATAGAGATCATCTTACTAATACTGGAAATCTTATAATCCAATATAGTAAATGATCTATTGTCCTGCAACTATCAGTAATTTCTTGTTATTCTCTCACACCAAAATTTTAGTTTAGTGTGATTGATTCTTGTAAATGGCTCTGTAAGCACCACCAATGATAAACAGCAGAATATATCAGGTTACAGACTTTGCAGTCGTCATGAGTTACTATGGTAACAAAAAAATCTTTGATGAAATGTGAAAAGGTTACAACCTTATTGAGCCTTGTTTTTCCCCCCTCTCCTTAGACTAAAGGTTGTCTGTTAAACTGTGTGTCTATTTTTTTATGGTCAGGGAGATGCGAGCTCTGGTCATAGAGATGGTTTTGGCAACTGACATGTCCTCCCACCTGCTCCAAGTCAAAGCCATGAAGTCTTGTCTACAGCAACAGGAGCGGTAAGCGTGTCCTTGAGGTTCTAAATAATGATGAATTTAAAAATAGGTCTTCTGCTGTGTATGAATTCTTACGTTTTTGGAGAAGAAAGTTTAATGACATTTTTCCAACAAGCAATGTCCTTTTTTGGCAATAAAGCGTAATGCTGTAACTTTATTGACCAACAATAAACTTTGAAAATGTACTGTCAGGCAATATTTGTCTGTTGCTTGTACAATTGACAGAATAATAATATAAACTAAGCTCTAACATGCAACTGATAATTATTATAAGTTTAGACACATTCAGTCAAAAGTAAAAAGAAAAAAATACAGTTATATTATGTATGCAATGTAACGTATGCATTCGTGTCCTTATGAAATGCGTGATATGTATTTTATGTTTAGATTGATGTCAGTGTTAACAAGATGGTACTTCTCATGTATCTGTTCTCATAGGATAGACAAGGCCAAAGCACTTTCTCTGCTGCTTCACACTGCTGATATCAGCCATCCATCTAAACCCTGGGCGCTGCATTCTCGCTGGACAAAAGCCCTTATGGAGGAGTTTTTCAGGCAGGTAAGTAGCCTTGAGACTTGCTTTATGGGCTTCTTAAGGTGTGGTAAACAAATTGGTGGTATCTGTATATCTGTTTCTTCTGTTTTTGTTGACTTTTATATAAAGCTCTTTGGTCAGCTGAAGTTGTGCTATATAAATAAACTTGAACTGAACTGAACAATAAAAGTCTGACTTGTAAAAACTATAAACATGTAAGGTGGACGAGCGGAAATAGTTAAATGATTAAAATACATTTGGCTAATGAAACTTGCCCATTAACCCACTTCTGTTTATATTGTTGGTTTATTCAGACTGACAGCATGTGCCAGTCACTTAGCCAGTTTAAAGCTGTTGTTGTCAGGTCTCAGGTGGCTAGACTCAATAGGACTCATGTATTTATGAACAGTGTGTGGATGCCCTTTAAGAGGTCTTCTCTTGTTTGTTTTCTGAGGGTGACAGAGAGGCAGAGCTCGGCCTGCCCTTCTCTCCACTGTGTGACCGCAAAACCACACTAGTGGCTGACTCACAGATTGGTATGTCTTGCTAAATTTGAGATAAATCATATTTCTTCATTCAAATGAACATTTCTGTGTGACAGGTTTCATAGATTTTATAGTGTACCCCTCATTCTCTCTACTGACCGACATGGCGGAAAAGATTGTCATTCCTTTAGTGGAGGAGAATCCCGGGCCCCCAGATCCCTGCAATAGGCACAGGTGAGGCTAAAGAGAAGAGTGCAGTGAATTAGGCAATCTTGAGAAGTGCTGGTGACAGGGCTCTGTGTTTCCTCAACAGTAATTTGTGGAAGGAGAGCTCCAGAGGGCTGCAGTGGAGCCTGGCTCACATCACAGCAGAACTGGTCAGCTTCCGCTCCACTTGGACAAGGCACACTGAAGACAACAAGCTCAAATGGAAAGAGAGTGCCTCCAATGGTACGACACATGTCCAGACACATGATAAATGGGCCTCTGGTTGCACTGAATGAGTCTATAAAAAGCAGATGGATTGTAAGGATGTGACCAGGAACATGCACTTCTCCATAAAGCAGCTCAGTTTTCTTGATTTGATTTGTCTGCCTGTAAGCGATCACAGGCAGAGATTAACATTGCCTTTGTTTCATCTTAACAGTATTTTCCATTCCTGCAGGATTTCCAGATGCCAGTGTGACAAGAGATGAGAAAAGTCAGCAAGATCAATCAGGAAACACTTTACAGAGTTTGTCTACAACAACACAGTAGATTTTTATAGTTGTAATGCAAGGAAGACCCACCTAAACATAGATGTGTTTATAATCAGAGGTGGGTAGTACTCAGTCACATATACCCAGTTACATTTACTTGAAGAAATTATTCTTTTCAAAGTAGTTTTCTCATACCACAGTTTTTTTCGGTGTAATAGTACTTGAGAAAAAGTTTGAACATTTGTGCATTTGAATATTTGAACAATTGTGCTTCTTATACCATAGCTTCAGATATGATTCGTTTTTAGTCCTTTCTTTTATTCTTTTTTTTTTTTGTCCCAGCAATATAACTCATAACACACATATCTGTTTCTCCAAGTACTTTTTTAAAATTATTATTATTTTGGATACTCATTTTTTGGTCATTCATTGACAGTACAAATTTTGTTTACTTTACCCACCTCTGTTTATAATAAAACCATTACATATATACTGTAGACTTTTTGCTAACACAATGTTGATCTAAGAGGTAATAGTTGTAAAGATGTCATGTCTTATGTTTATAATATAAATGTTAATTTAAACAGTGTACATGCTGGCCATGTTTTACAGTGATAGTGCTTATTATATTTGACAACTTGTAAATGTAATCTTTTTAGGACATGCACAAGGAAATAACTAAGCAATAAATGCAGAAATATTTGGATCAAAACTCTGTGGTTCTTTGCTCTTGCAGCAGGGGGTGGTATAGAGCAGTGTGTCTAAAAAGGGCTTGAATGTTGACATTTTTCATGGCAGTTAATTTTTCATCAAATTTGATTTAAAGCAAATATAATTGAAAATACTTTTATTATGGGCTTACTGTATCTTATTGTATCTTTGATGATTGTTTGCCCTAGGGGTTACAGTGTAATTCCATACCACACCTGAACCTCTCATCTCGATTATAATGTGGGAATGGAAAACCTAACATGCAATTAATGTGTTACCTATATGAGGAAGACACGAGCCAAATATAGGACCAGCTTTTTAGATGATTCGTGAGGCATTACTGGGCACACAGGCAAAACTGGTACCAAAAACAGCATTAATCTATTTCATTATACTTTGTTTTAGAACAGTGAATACCTCAACTTGGTCTGTTGCAAATAACTACCCCATATTAATACTAATTATACCTCTGTAATTCAACCATGTATGAAAAATGTATGTTTTGTGCTCCAAGGTTTTAGGTCTTTAAATTATTCATGGGCACTATTTTAGGATGAAGCAGAAGCTAAACCTCTTCGAAGCAGTGGTGTAAGAACATAGTCAAACCCTATTCAGGTTACCGCTTTTTGGACAAATCAAAAAAACAATTCCCTCATCACGGTGTAAGACATGGGGCATTTAAGGTAACAGCTGCTAAAAATAGATCTTATGAAAGATGCTGCCAGTGTGCCTTAGCTGATACAATACTGCAGCCTTTAGAGTGCAGCTGAAGAAATATGGATATCTGCACTCAATGGCATACGCTTACTTCAAAATATAGCAGTAAAAGTACTCAATAGTTAAAAATAGAATGAAAGTACTTTTGACTACTCCACTACAATTACAATTAGTAATATGACTGCATCTGAAACTACATCAAGAGCATTTTCCATCATGTTTATAGAAATACCCCAAAAAGTAGTTTTTATACTACGCTTTAATAGCTCACACACTGTACTGTGGCCCTGCCCCAGTAGCACTGACAAATGGGTCAAATGTAGAGGACAAATACTGTAAGATAAGATAAGATATGCCTTTATTAGTCCCACAGTGGGGAAATTCCAGTGTTGCAACGCGCAATTCCAGAACAGCAGGAAAATGTAACATACAATAAAACAGATCTCTATGTATCTCTATGGAGATAAAAATGTGCATAAACTTTAAATCTAAATTTGGTAATAAATAATGAGTCACCTAGTACCACACCTATAAATTATCACACCATTATGAATTTAAAGCCTTTTATTATATCAAACAAATTGAATTACAGACATAATTGTCATTTAATTCAAGTAAATCTGAAACAAAACTCTCCAAATATTAAATAGAAACATTAACATCAAGAACTGAACAAACACCATTTAGTTATTTGCACTGAAGAGAAAATCTAAATTGGGAATGTTTTTTCTTTATGTTGTAGTTTAATGGGGATGCCATCTATGCTGAAAGGATTGTCACATAGTCTAAGTACACTGTAATCCCACTTTTGAACACACAATGGGTTAAAATGAACATACAGAAATATGTGATACATCCAGCCTTTTTTACATGTACACTTTGAACTGATTTAGTTGCTGTTTAAAAAAGTAAACGCCCAGAAATGCTGTACATTCAGTGCCATGCATTGAAGTGGTGTATGCCCCAAGTTATAGCAGGATTTCAAAAAGAAAGTGCTATTTGTCGACTCAAAATCTATTATAAAACAACACTGAGATGTGGCTGTCAATCAATAGCGTTGTAACAGATTAGTTAATTCTCATCAAAAAATGTAAGATTTTGGTGCAAGCTAAATGTAGTTGTTTAGAAACATATCTCAATTTGTGGAAAAATATGACACAAGTGGGGTTGTTTATGTATGACCAACCCAAGCCAGGACAAATGTAGAAACTTAAGAAATATTGAAATATCAGCCCTGAACCTGAAGAAAACAATTAAAACCCCAAAATGTGAAGATAGATGTAATTTATATAACCAAATGATGCTTTAGCACCTTTGAGGTATTTTATTGCCTGAAGATGCAAAAGATGGCACATTACAGATAAACCTGACTAATTTGGTTTGATGTGAAAATGGGAACAGTATTGTGAATTATGCCTTTTGTGTGACTGTTGGACTAAAAGTATTTGCTGTCTGCTATCTGTTCAGTGTATGGGAGCTAAAGAAAACAACTCAATTAAATACTAATTGGCCCTTGCACAACCTTGTTTACATGGAATAGACCGTAGAAACCTTTGTAGTGGTGGGGGTGGTAACTAAGGCCAGTACTGATTATTTGTTTATGCCCTGATGTTTTCGAGTGGGTTCACACACATACAATGCCCTGGCTTTGTGTTGGGCCCATTGAGCAGCATGATGTTGCGTACCAGACATTTACATTACTTGGCCTTCTTCATGCTGGATTTCTTTGTTCGATTCTCTGACGGCTGGCTGGGTGGTGCATCTATTAGCACATAAAAACAAAACATAATGAGAGGATTCTAATGGCACTTGGAACATTGTGTCATGAAGAGCCTGTGTTTAAGAAATACAAAGGAAGTTTTGAGGGCTTGAAATATCACAATTATGGTCTTAAAGATGCATTGTGTAACTTTTTTGGTAGAGGGTCTGCCAGTTGCTTTTCTCCAAGTAGATGTTACTGCTTTGTCTGAAATGTTTAACACTATAGCATCAAAACTTTTTATCATAATTTAGACCAAACAAGACCAAGTTACTGATAAAAATATCTGTTCTGTAGGTATTTATAAGCAATATAAACACCTTTAATTGTATACATGTAAGATGGATCTGTTATCTTATTGTGGATTTCGAAGCAGAGCAATGACATATCCATAGAAACAAGGTGACAGAACCCCAACCAAATAGTTACATAGTGTAGCTTTAACTAATAAAAGGTAGTCTCATTAAACTTTGAAGAATGCAAAGGATTATTTTAGGAACAATTAGTCAAATCTAATAATGGGCATAACTTGAAACACAAATTTACATATTTTCAGTTTAGTCCCATCAAATTAACAACAACTGTAGCCACGACCCAAGACCCATTGTGCCAAACATATTTTCATTTATATTGATTCAGCACTGAAATTTACACTGGATCCTTCGGGTTGAAAGGCAATGTATAATAAATGTGCCAATTATGATCCAAGCTATAGTTTGTCCTGTTGTTAAATATCTGGATGCTTCACCCCTTAGATAAAATAATGACAACAGAGTGAGCATATTTATTTCCGGTATCAGATGAATCATCCACCTAGGGTTCTATGTTCAGCAGTTCTGTTAGCATTTCTATATTTAGTGATATCCATAGAAACAAATATTTGTGATCCATATGATTAACCAATCAGATACTTAGCTGGTGTGTTCAAACTAAAGAGACTATATCAAATTTACTACACACACACTGAAAACATGTATGTGCCTCTCCATATAATTTCCCAATAGTGTAACTTGTATAATTGCCAGTCACATATTGTAGTTTCACATGTCAGCAGTATCAACTTATATTTCTGTTGGTTCATGCTGTTACATGACACCCAACTGAACTACAGCTGGTTTCCACACAAACCGCAGAATACAGCCATGCCCCCCTGGGATGTGGCATGGGGGAAAACACATACCTGTTTGTGTGTTGCTCTGTTGTGAATCTACAGCAGAGGTGGACGAAGAGCTCTCCTTCTCTGTGGCAGGGGAACACTCCAAGCCTCCTCCTTCTAATAGACTCTCCCTGGAAAACTCTGCAACAGCAACAAGATGAACAGGGAACATGAAAATAGAGAATAACACAGGATATGACCAAACCAGCAATAAACTGGACAGCTGGCAGTCTAATCCACCTCTAGGCAACACATATACAGGACTATACAAATCCTTGTCCAAGGATGTCTGGTTCTCCATACAATTATCTGTATGTTTTTGTCACCTTTCACTTTTCTGACACCTCCCTAATCATTTAAGCAGATCATAAGGAATACCCAAAACACCATATATAAGCAGTATTTTACATAGAGAAGTTTTGGCTCATAGTATCATTACACTGTTTGCTCCGCTTCAGAAAGAATTAATACTGGCATCAAAACCTTTAAGAATAACTAACAAAACAAACTAAGATTACACAAGAAATACACACCTAAACAAAAAAACTAAACCAGGAGTCAGAAATTTTGTCTAAATCAATAAAATATAATGACTAAAACATATCTTACTTAGAGGTTGGAAAATAATAAAAAAACATGACCTTGTTTGACCCTGCAAAAAGAGTCACTTAAACTGTAATTTTTTCTCTATACAAGAGTATAAAGTGCTATTTTCTCACAGATAATGTCACAATCATTTCACATTTGTCTGATACATAAAAGAGACATTTCAGCACATTTCTATTTTCTGTTTTCAAAATTACTGTTATTGGGATTCACTGAATATACTATTATTTTCTCAGTCCTGTCCACCCCTAATCTTACCCTGAACAAAACATGACCAAGATTAAATCTACTAACATAATTTCAGCTTCAGTTTTACTCTTGATGCTAAATGAAACTATCACGACTTCTGGTGTGCATCATCAATATCTTGTGACATTTGCCTTTATAAGTTATTTACTGACTCATGGTCCGGTCTATAGGTAAAGCTGCCTTCCGTTGCTCCTGTGTTAATGTAATTTATCCCCTGTAGCTTTTTTCTTTATTCATTTTCTCCAGACTGGAAACTTAATTTGAACATACTTTTCAATGGCACACCATGCTGATTCTAATGATACTATTATATGAAATCCATTAGACCAGTGAGTCAGAAAATCTAAAAAATACCACCTGCTATATAAATGACCTTCTAGCTCTCAGACAAATCCAGTCATAATTTACCAGCACTGGTCAGCTCCTAATGTGCACAGTGGGTTTAAACCAAAATGCATGCAAAACAAAATTGTGTAACCACTGCACAATTTTGGCCATCTGCAATGAAGATTTCAGAAAATCTTGTATCATAAAATATTTATAAAGTGTTTTTATTATTCAGCTTCTGTTGGATTTTATCATTTACTTTTGTAATCATTGTACCTCTTTTTAAACACTTGTTGATGCATGTATACAGACCACTTTCCTCATGCATATAAATATCCCTTACATAAAAAATACTGTGACCATCAATGTAAGATAAAATAAAGACACTATAGCAGTTCTATGGGGACAAAAATGGTCTTTATGTGTTGAACAATTGAAATTTAAAAGTCAAATTAAAGGGCATTGATTAGGTATCGTTTCATTCTCTAGCAGTACTGGGGTTTTCAGAAAGTTTACACAAAATATTGGACTTAACAATACACAGCTGTCTGTTATCAAAATCCCTTGAGCGAACAAAGAAATGCAGCATTGTACATAACACAGATGGCACTACTTTACACTGAAGAATGAACCTCTCTTTAAAACTCATACTTTTCCCTCCATATTCAGCATTCATTTCCATAATGTCCATCGGCTGTTTTCGTGTTCCTCCTCTCCATGCAATTGTTTTCTCTCTGATTTTTCCTATTATGTTAATTAACTACACAAATTTGCATTTTGTCCCAGCAGCTTCTCTCTCTTTCTGATCCCACAGTCATTTTCTCACTGACTTTGTTTTCTTCTGTTCAAGCATTATAATATACTCTTGAATCCTCTAAACCAGCCCTATGCTTCTCCCTGTACTGCACTGCTTTTGTGCATGTGAAATGAAGCTGGAGAAATGCGTCTGGTTCATTTATCGATCAAATTCTATAGAACAGTCTTTTACATATGTTTGGGAATAGCAAAATATAGAACACTTGAATTTAAAGTTTATGTAATGAAACTACAAAGACTCATAAAAGCTTTACATGAGAAGTACATGATCTACAAATGAAGAATTCACAGTTTTGTATAGTCAATAAGTGAGTACATACAAAGTTAACAAATACTGGACTCTTCTTACTACAAAATGTTCTTTCTACAAAGCCTTTACACTTTCAATGAACTGGAAATGCCATCCAATGCTCTACCATCAAATCAATGCATTATTTATAGTGTAGTCAACCATCAAATCTCGCAACAGCATTTACATGTTCAAATATTCCTGTGTAAGTCTCCAGCTAAATTAAGACAACCAATACTTCTAACTCCTGTATGCTAATTTATATTTAATAATAATATTTAATAATAATCAATATAATTTTTAAATACTAATTACTATGCAGGTTTTTATCTATATCCCCTTTTTGTTACAATTTGGTGCAAATAAATACTTTTAATTGTTATTTCTCCCCCTATATACTGCCCCAGCTCCTCCTCAGGGCAGGTCCCTAGAAACGCCCCTAAATAAGAATATTTTTCTATGTATTTGTAGTTGTTTACTCGTTTCAGAAACTATGATACTGAACCCAGAAGCAGATTTGAGTCACATTAATGTAAGTCATGTGACCAAGTGCAGTCTGACCTTCCATTTGGCAGCGAAGTTTCTCGAACGCCTCCACCGTGGCCTCGTCATCATGAGGCAGCTCGTCTCCCACGGGCACAGAGTCAGGGCTGGGCCGGTCTGACAGACAGCTCTCAGAGGAGCACTCGTCGCCCCCTGCAGGCTGCTGCTGCCGGTACAAATGGTGTTCCACAAGGAACTGCAGTTCTATACAGGTACAGGAACAGACCAGTTAATGCTTAAATCACCAAGTGTACTGCTGTGAATAAAAAATGCAGATACCAGAGAGGTAGAATTGGCAGGCACTAAATAAAGCACAACCACCTTCACTTGAGTTTCCCTTAATCAGTATTGCAGAACTTGGAGAAGCTTTTCTCTGAGACTTTGAAATGTTTACTTTGAAATGTTTGAGTACTTTGTATTTCTTTGGTCAAATATTACTCATGTTCATAAAGATGCACAATAATATCAGCTGTTATTGGTTTTAACGTTACATCCCTTTGTAAACAGACCACAGAACAGGATTATCTTCAGTGATGATTCTTCGCACAAAGCCACTTGCTTAACTTCCCAGTTACAGTCTTCTAAAAAGAGGTGCACAGCTTTGTATAGTAAAGAACTGCAAATTTGGTTCTTATTTTGAAAATAAATAAATAATTATAACAATACTTACAGTAAACATAAAGTAATTACTATACCACCCTATCTGATCTGTCATAGAGCATGCATATAGTTTCACAGAGACATTTTCAGCAAAAAGAAATTACATGACAGACAGGTGCTAAAATGATTGCAGGAGATGAGTGAGTATATACCTTTCATAGTTGGTGTACCCTTTTGCCCTTTCCGCCGTTGTCGAGGGGAATTCAATAAAGCTGCCTGCAAAAACAGCAGTAATAACTCAGCATGGAGGGTTCAGATTGCTATATGACTATTAAAAAAATCACAAAATATATAAACCTACCTTGTACAACTGGTTTGGGAGACGGTCTTCATCGATTTCTGAGGGAGGGAAAGACAAAACATGAAACAGTGAACAAAATAACATCCACCTCCACCTCAAAAACACATAAGCCACACTTGTACATGTGTGTATGTACAAATGTGGAGATGAGGACCTCTGCACAGATCATTATTAGACAGAGTTCACATTATTCAGTATTCTATATGATTGGTGTCTATGATAAATTCATTTAATCTATACATCAAATTTCCACTATGTTGTTCTATATCTTATTTCCACCAGCATAATAGTAAACACAAATTTTCAGTTTAAACAATAATTCCTGTTCATTCTACTAAGGAGTGAACTCAGTCCAGTTTTCCCTCACTGAAAAATACAGTGCAACTGAAACTAAATCCATATTTCAAGGTCAAATGTAATTAAGCAGTTGTTATGTTGTATAAACACCTTAGGAAAACAGCTCTATCATATGCAGTCAATACAGTCTAAAATATGACTGTGAGCTCACAGGCTGATGGACCTAAATATAAAGGTTGCATGGAGTACATTAACTTTGATCAATGGTGAACTTCAATCTCACTCTGATTTCAGGCAGACAACTTTTTTCTGGGACACCTCCTTGTTGCTTGGCAACCTATGCATCCCAAGACACAAGGAAGGCACTGTGAGTAGTGAGGGTGTGCATACATTATCCACACTTAAAAGTATTCTCTGGGCTGATCGAAATTCCACTGATGTGCTCCATCACTCTGTCTTCTGCTTCAAAACCAGCAAACCTTTAAACTTCTGTGGGAGCTCTGTGTGCCTCTACCTGCTCAATGTGCTTACATTTACACTGCTGTTTTGAGCATCTCCAGGCGCTTTGACTGACTTTGTACTGTAGGTTTTCATTCAAATTCCAGAAAAAGGCCATTTGGGGTAATCTTCAAGATCAAATTTAGCAATGTCATTGTGATTCTAGCAACTCTGGGTGCTTTGAGATGCTCACAAATACAATAGTGTGTGATAAGGTATTACGTTTATCAGTTTTTATTACCTAAAACCTTAAATAGACCTACATAGTCATCACATCTTCACCGTTTAAGATAACAAATTTATTCATCATTATTAAATATAATTAATCTATGCCACCAAAAAACAAGCACAATGACTGTCTGTGTGTTTATGTGGAGGGTCCATCTGTTGTCAGAATGTGCAAAACAGCCAATAAAACGTCCTTTTGTTTGTGTAAGCTGATGAGTCTATCACAGAAACTCCCCAATGACCGTCTGAAGCTGAGCCAGATGAGAACAGAGACACTGGCATGACTGCACTATCCACTCAGAGCTCAGCAAAACAACACACCACTGCTGCTGTGAGGAGAATTTGCTTTACTTGAGCTTTTATGTGCCTTTTGTGTTTTGGTGTTTTGACAGTATTTATTTTCATGAGAAAACTTTTTGGATGTGCACTGTCCATCCTGATCCAGCTGTCTGCCTCTGTATGATTCTGTGCTGTTTTGCCAGTGTGATCTGCAGAGCATTAAATAATGCACACAGCATCAGTGCATCAGGCTTTTTGCTCTCCCCGCTGCCCTGCTCCCCCTGCCCCTGTCGCTCATGTTGGGAACAGATTGTCTATAGTTTGGCTTGCCTCTACGACTCCAGAACCATTCTCCTGTTGCCAATTTCTAATTTGGTTTCTTATCTGGCACGGAAACATTTTAGCGCAAGCTCAAATATCCAGTAAAATGTTAATTTCCCAAATCATATCATGGGCTGACAGTATAGTGGAAGCTTTTATTTCTTATACTATTATTCTGCCTGTAGAATGTTTATTTAGCACATATTTTTGTGTGACATGGAGCTGAAGAGTGGCTGAGACATTCAGCAAATCATCAGAAATATAATCCAAAATGCATAGACCACTACATTATTGTGCAACACCATCACTATTTTCATGTCAGTTTTATCAAGTTTTTATTTATTAATTTATTTTTTAAATCAAATAGCATCCTTTGTAATAACCAAAAAATAATATGGAAATATGGAAATGTGTAAAAAGTGATCTGTAAAGGTATATCCTCAACATTCCAACTTTCAAATTTTATCTTGAAAGAGGACATTTTCTCTTCAGAAGTTTTGGTGAAGGGTTCTCAAACTGGTTCTCTGTACTTACTTCACAGTCTCTTAAGTAGCTTGCATCTGTTTTTCTATGTTTGATCTGCCTGGCAGCAAAGCCTCTCTGTGTTTTCTCAGATCAAAGTTAACGCTCTGTAGGAACTCAGAAACATGCACTGTGCTGTAATTAAAGCTGAACACAACTGAACATCACACAAGGAGAACTGCTTTTTCCACTTGCTATCTTTACATTGAGTTTATTATCTTGTACACTCAAAGATATGAATGAACACAAATTAATGTCCTTGTTAATCTACATAGAGTGCTCTGATACACAATAGAATATAATCTAATATGTGGTACACACACAAGAAGTTTTACATTATTCAGGTCAGTCATACAGTTTGAAGAGCGTATACTTGCTGAACCAATGAAATAACACCATGAAATGTACAAGGGCTGCTAAATTAAATAAAGAAATAAAAAAATCTCAATTAGAATGGACTCAACAACAACACTACCCAATCCATGGATACACATGGGGTCTTAAAGTCTGTCAGCCATATAGCTTGTTTGCGACTTTTAGAGTAATACAGACAATTTGCTATATTTTTGTAAAATTATTCATACTGTAAAAATCACTATGAAGAACACTCCCTGTAAATCATGTGTCAAATACACAAATCTCAATTTTTTCAGTTTGTTTGTTTGTTCACCTGAGAGAATTGCCTCTGTGGTATACATTGCCCATTGATAGTCCTCAGCTCTACACTGCAGAGTAATACTACAGAGTCAGCAGCATCACACAGGGACCAGCCTGGATGACTCACTCCACAACAGGGAAGCCTCCACACAAGGACTGCACTGTTTCATCATTAACTTCTCATTAGACACAGATACACAGTGATATTAGTCAGTATACAACCTAAATGTGATACTATTAGTCTGGCGTCGATAATAGTCACCTAATTACCAAAGCACCTGGGATACAAGAGCAAGATGAGCAACAGGTATTGGGAACAGGATGGACAAATTCTCCAACAGAAAAATTACCTTTTTTTTTTTTTTTTTTTTTTTTTTTTTTTTTGAAGTCACCTTTTATAATCAGTAGTATCATGGACAGAAACATGATTTCTGTTGTTCTTGGTAACGTATGTAACATATAACATATGTATATATCATAACATGTTTTGAAATGTGAAAATATTTTCAAATCTGATCAGACAGATTTTTTTCTTTTTTCTTTCTTTAATATATCACTATAATATGTTGCCTTTGCAGTTACTTAAACAAAAAGCATTGTATCAAAAAAAAATCTAAGAAAGATGATAGCTGAAATAATTCACATCAAAACTTTCATCAATAATAGATTTACAAAGTTCTCCATTTTTGTACAAAATGAAATGTTGCCTCCCAACATGGTGCATTGTGTTACCTGGGGATGACTGATCACTGGATGCCACTAAAGTCGCTGGTGTGGGTCTGCGTCTTCTGATCTGGGAAAAAATACAGGGAAACATTCATACATGATTCAGTAAAGATGCATTTATATTGCAGTGCCAACACTGGCCAGTAAAAAAAAACAACATATAGTCAAACATAATGTATGATCATAATCTTTATAGGCATCTCTAATGTGTTGAGTTCTAACACCAAGTGTATTCTGGGATGTTTGGGACCTTGTGGTTAGTATCTTATTGAGGATGATATGGTACAATATGGTACAAAAATTGAAAACAGTAACACTATTTTTGGAGTGTGAAGTATCAGTTGAATTCTACTGGGGCTGTATTCCATGAAAGGTCTGTCACAATAATTACTATATCTACTTTTGTTCAATATGTTAGAGATGAACTATATTTTTCAGGCTCAATGTGTATCTTTTCTTTGCACGAGTGGGAAATATTTCTTATTTTAATGCAGTATTAGACCTATATGAAAAGTTGTAGATTGTCAAATAATTCACATCTATGACACATGGTAGATACTAGAACTATCAACTAAAACATTTCAGTGTGCTATTTATTTATGGCTAGACACATACTTTTTCTGAGATTATCCTGTTTAATGGTTATTGTGTCAGTGGTATAAAGTTATATTAAATATTGTGGTTATTTTGAGGTATTTTTCTGTAGCAATACATCACACTTCAAATTTTGTTATCATGACAGGCCAACTTCATGTGTCAGTCTTTTCCCAAGCACACCCACTACATGCAGAACTTCAGAGCTGCTGATGCAATGTGAATGTCACTGAGATCAGTGTGAAACACTTGCTCTCCACGCTTCACCCATAATGACACAGAGAAGTGATGACAATCTGTGCTAATGTCTTCTAATGAAAGATGAGCAGTCACACACAAGGAGCACATCTCTGCCACACACTGAGAGTCTAATTTGCCATTCTGATCTGAACAAAAAGTGACTATGCAGGGCAGGAAGGTGGCAGGAAAAAGAAAGAACAAGATTGTCTTTTCCTCCAAAGTGTTATTGTCCTGAAGGAAAAATGCTGACCTTACAATACACAGCTCACAATGGCTCTGCTTCAGCTATTTTTTACTTTACTGTTAAATGTTTGCATGATAACATGATCCAAAATACTTGCAGCACACATGAAGTCAAATGCTCTCTTAGCAGACTAGAATAAATGTTGAATTATAAAGCCTTCTCAGTTGAAATGTACACATGTGAAAGGTTTATTGAATAGAAATAGCACTGTAGAATTAGGGTGGGCAAAACTGACAAAGATTAACATCTAAATATTAGTTTTCAGTATCCCAATTAATAATCAAACAATTTTGTGCCACTCCAACTGAAATAGGCTCAAGTGTGTCTTTAAATGCATTTCAGACGCAATTTGAAATTCAGTTTTTGCTCATATGACATCTATTGACCCCAGGCAAAAGATTCAATTCTTTGTTCATTCATTTCAATGCTTGAGAGAACCACACAAGTCAGCAATGTTAGATTCAAACATACACATTTTCTTCTTCTTTTGTCCTCTGCAGTTAACAGTACAAACACCAGCCCTTGGCCTATATTAAAGCCACTGCCTGTGTGGACCTGATTATCCACACGAAGTTATTCTCTTGAACCAGCAGCAGCAGAGGACTGTCCTCTCACACAAATACCACAGAGAGGACAGAAGCTCTCCTCACCAGTGGCCAAATGCTGCAGTCAACAGACGTCAACCAGCAGAAAGTGGTGGGAGGTTGGAAAAGCCAAGCATGCCTCATGATCTAGTAGGAAGCAGATTACTAAACCCAGAACAATAGAGAATAAAAGCTCTTGATCCATATTTTCTTGAAGCTAATTAATACAATTTACTGTCTAATTGACCCAATAGATTACGTGTCTACATAAAAAGTAATGACTGGATCAATAAATTAGGCTAATCCACACCAATAGGTTTTCTATAACCCTCTATATTGAGTATACATCAGACAAGATAAAAAGAGGACACCAGCATAAGCAAATATAACATTTGACATGATGACATTCCTGATCTGATAATGTAGTAATAATATACTGAACTAATACAAACTTAAACAGACTGAAGGATGATTAGTGTTATGGATATGAGGTCAGTGATTTAAAGATGAGGTGAACAGGGACATTAAATTGACAGATGTGAGGAAGAAAAGCAGAAGATGTGAGATAGGAGCACGCTGTTCAAATATTTACTTTAAATACTCAAAAAAGCATGCCCAGTTGACAGAATTCAGCCATTCATTCTATTGACCCTACTTCGATGACAGAGGGATTACACACTCAGACATTCCTCAAGACACGTAAATTGCACTATATACATTTTCTGAGGAAAGACCTGTCCCCTTTTTGTCACCATGGATCTGTAATTCCTTTACCTGAAATGTTACACTGTATGGCATTAAAGATATTTCCACGCAGAAGAGAATTGAACCCCACTAGACCAAATTCAAGGTATTTTTGTAGCACTAAAAGCACCTGTAAATGAAAATAAAATGTAAGCTATATTGGTCCAATTACACACTAACATTCCTTGCAAAAACAATAACAACTTCATGAGACAAAAAGAAAAAACAGAAAAGAAAAGTTCCATAATTCACCTTTAAAAGAAGATAAGATTTTCCATATTAAGCACCAAAAGTAGCCCACATTCTTCTCACTGCAATGTGAATTATTACCATCCTGTAATTTCCAAAACCAGACACCATAAATCATCGAACAATCAGAGAATAAAAGGAAACGCTGTAGCTCTTTTATCTCATTTGAGTCTATTCCCATTATAAGACTTTCGTGTTGAACTGAGACAATGTTCTCCATCTCCCTGTCTCTCATTGACCCAGACCTGCTGTGTGTGATAATACTCCAGATGCCACATGAACAGTTTAATAGATCCAACTCAATGGGATGTCGAAACGAGTCATTAAACGACAGCCAAGGTTTCACTGCACTTCCTGGCCTTTATGTAAGGCCCATGGGTAAAAACAATTAATAAGCCCATAATCATCACGTTTCAACTGGCCTTTTCTAAATGTTTAGACATTCTAAAAATGTTTTCAGGTAGTTCAAGTGGTGAAAAATACACAACTGAAATTAGGATTTATTAGATATTGTTGTATTGTAAATGAAAAGTTTGTTCCTCTTTTTTGTACTATGAACAAATACGTGATGTTTGCTGTAGCAGTTCACATGCTATTTTGTATGTTCATGTTAGCACAGGTTTAATACATTTTTTCATGTTGATACTGTCAAGGTGTCTTTGAGAAAAAGCTCTGAAATGTGCAGTAACGTTTGTGGCAGGTGAGACTATTACTGAGATAAGTGGATTATAAATAAAAAAACATATTTTGTCACATACAAGAACCTATGAGGCATGGAGAAATGTATTTACAATTTCTTTATTTGGGACAATTCCCTTTATATTCTGATCTATGTTATAATGTTGTTTCCTCATCAAAAACATACCTGGAGTTGTGTTTTGTTTCCCTCATGCATATTTAATACACAGACCCTGCATATTTAGGCTGAGTTCTTCACTCAAACAGAAAACATTTGTGATATCATGTGGTAATGAAGTGCTCCACTGTCTTCTTCAACTCAATACACCTTCACTATAATAATTTGGATAAATTCAGCCCTGGAAATGCCACTCCCTACTAAACTAACTAACTAAAGGTACAAGGTGAAACTTGAACATGAAAACTAGCTTCATGATCACAAGATGGAAAAGAGCATTTGGAGCTCTGGAGATGTAGACAGACTAATAATAAAGGATTACTCACACATCATTAGAACATGGCTAAAAGTTCACAAGAATTGATTTTGCGTAATATAGGAATTTTAATAACCATCTATTTTTTTGGTGGGTAGAAGCAGCAGTAGCCTTTTTCTTTATGTCATTTACATTTTACCAGTATAGTGACAGTAGGGGGTGGGGTCCTTGTTTGTACGAGCCTGCTGCTTTATAATGAGATGAGTAAAGGTGCTGTGCAGTGTCTCTGGATGAGCCTGACAGACCTGACTGTACTTTTGTAGTGTGGGTTAGACCTAAGGGAGCTTGTTCTGACTGACGTGCAGGTCTCCACAGAGCCTGCCTCTCCATGGGAGTGTCAGGATGCAAAGATTACTGAGCCATGGGTGAAGTCCCCTGAAGCGCTGTTTTCAAGGTGCTTGCAAACACAGCACGTTTACACACAGACGCACACACACACATTAACCTCTTCTTACAAATCTTGTCTTCTTTGTTATTGTATTTAGAAGCCAGCCATCAACAGGGTTACACATATCTACTAACAAAGATGTTTCTTTACTTCCACATGCTCAATTTCAAGAGTGCAGTTGTGACATGGCAACATATTTCAGCAAAGAAAATTGATTATGAATTGAATGTTGTGTTTTATTTTCATTTTCTCACAGACCTTGTTAGCCTATTTCTTCTCAAACTTGTGTAAAATTATGAAAGTGAGTGGTTTTGTTAACAGCATGGAATAATCCCTGTGCACAAAATACAATAATAATCTGATTAATAAAATTTGTTATTTAAATTACTGGTTATACAGCTATTTACACATTAGTTCACACAACTAACTAATGTGAATGTGTAATTTTTCACAGGTTTTCCACTAAGCTTTCCTACGGTACACTGGGGGATAGATACAGGCATGAATTATAGTGAAAGCAAGTCATTGTACAGAAGAACTCCAAATGCCAACCAATTTTACCTGGGTTGAATATGCAAAATAATGACCACCAACTAATTCTAAAGGTGCATTATGTCACTTTTCTGGTGGGGGGCCTGTCCAGCATCTGCTGTCACCATGGAGGTGTCATTGCTTTGCTCAAGTATTTTCCACAGTATGACACATTTAACTTATCTAGCCTGCTAAAAAAACACTTGTTAATAATGGATTGTTACTGTCAGCGGACTCCCCTTTCCACAGATCTGAACTGTGACTTGGCCTTGTGACTTTACCTGCCTGTCTCCATGGAGATTTAAAGATTTGCTTAATGCCATATTGTGAAACATTCCAGGGCAGAGCAATAATGTCTTTATGGAGAAAGGAGTGTGGAGTTTCAATTACTGGCAAAGAAGACTCAATCCCAACTGACTCAAGTGAATTCACTAGCCAAGCTGTATTTGGTCTTCATGTCCTTTACAAGGAAAGCACACAGTGTTTCCTAATGAGCACAGCTAATTCACCATTAGCATGACCCTGTCCCCAAACAACCCAGTAAATGCCATTCCAATAGCTTATTCCACACTCTGAGAAAGGGCACTTCAAAAAAAATCACACTCTTATTGAGCTCTGCAGTAACACTCAGGGAGGAAGAGAGAGCCAAGGGCCAAGTCTCATTTATTTTTGCTGGTTACTCAAGACTTATTCATTATGGATGACCTGCCCTCTTCATGTTATATTGATACAAATGTGAAAATGGGACAAGCTTTATCACTATATTCTCTGCAGTCAGTGGAACTTTTTACTCTCATCTCATATGGGCTAAATCAGAGGTCAAGATTAAGATTTGGCCAAGATTAAGTTATTGTAAAGCACAAGTGTGGTCACTGGCAAGGAGTTAAATAAAATAAATATGTTTTGCCATTAACAATCTTGAGTAGGCTGTAATAATGAGTCACTATGCCCATCACAGGTGTCCGAAAATCTTATTAGCTGTTAAACCTATCACCACCAGTAGGGGGAGTAAAGAACATGTAGGCCTATTATAAAAAAAAAATAAAAAATAAATAAAGAAAAGAAAAGAAAAAGAAAGCAACTTTCAACTTTCATCTCAATAGGTGATAGTAACATGACTTATAACATGAAAATTATTTCTTTTTTATGATTATTTATAACTAATATAACTAAATAAATACGAGAAAACCCGATTTATCCGAAAAAATGCCCTGAAGCGTAACAGCCATTTCATCTTTAATCTGAATAGTAAAAATAACTTTTTTTCTAACACTGGCATGACAACATCCAGATTCGTCCAGTCACAGGTGTAATGGTCTTACTATGACATGGACAGTCACGCAATCGGCTACAACATGCCTCCTCTCCTCCCATGGATCTCCCGCTCACCTGCTCCGCTGCCTCGGGGTCCAGGTGGGTGTCCAGTAAGGGCATAGTGAACTGGATTTTCCTGGGGCTCCCGGTTTCCATGTCGTCACGGCAGCTGCTAAAGCGAAGGATCCGTGCTTCAGAATCCAAACGTGATGGTAGATAGCCTAGTTAAAGATTCAAGGACAGGCAACTATGGGAAAAAAATAAAAAAATAAAACTCCAGCTTTTCAGTGACTCGACTTTATATCCCTTTGAGCAGTTGGCACATCTGATCTTCTTGTTTCTTCTTGATGTTTGTAAAAAGATCCTCTACACCTGCTAATGAGAACCAGTCACTCTCCTCATCCGCGCTCTCCTCACTCCCAGCTCTGAGGCAAGGGCACTCGAAAAAAATCACGAACACCTCTGCTTCTTTCCCATTGGCTGAGCTGCACTCCCCTTCACTGTAAGTCCCGCCCCCTCCCTGCAGTTCTGTGTCACTGCATTGGCTGTGAGAGCGCGGGGTTTACGCTGCAGCAGTGCAGCAGATGGGAGAGAGGATGACAAAGACACGTTTCTCCTCCACAGCTCTGAAAACGAGTGGGAACCATGCATCATCTGACTCCATGTATTTTTAACAATCACCTGCCCACAGGATCTACAAGACACGACCTACTTTTTAAGGCATCTAGTGAGTATCATAGGCCTTACAGCTCTGAAAACAGTTACTCTGACACTTTTGCCCCCCTAACCCTGTGAAATGGGGCAGTGGCCATACTATTATTCAATTATCTTAGCTCTATGTAGGCCAATCATGTCAGCAGCCTTATTAAGAGTAAGCTGCTATATTAGAAATCATTCACCAAATAGGAATTAATAATCGCACAGATAATTAATTTTGAACTACTAGCCGAATAACAACAAATATGTTAAGTTAAGGCACAGGTTCATACATAAAAAGTGGTGAGTGTGAGGAAGTGTACATAACGTTTTATAAATGAGAGCCCAGTTGACTACCTCTGAAACCTTTTGTGTCATAGTGGTAACTATAATGGTACATTGTGGATGAATGTCACTGGTTGTCTGTCATTGTCTCTGAACCTGAGCTGCGCTGCGCCCCCCCTGAACAAGAGTATTTGCAAATTGCTATTACTTAATGTGAGGAACATAAAGTTCAGTTTTTAGCCTATTGCCAGCTGCCATCTACAGGAAGCTGAGTGCACTTAAAGTGGTTAAATGCTTGTCTGATCCATGTTCATGTGTGGTTGGATTGTTGGCTGCAGCTGCTAGTTCAGTTCTTATTGATTAGATGTGAGACTGATTGTCTGTACATCACACATCCACAGCTGGGGCCTGTTACGTGACACCAAGAAGCAGACGGCTGGAGTCCCATTTCACATTAGCAGGAGATTTTGGGGGCCAAACACTACTGTGACAAGGCCTAGTCGCAAGTAAATTATATGAACACAAGAACAATTCAACCAAACACACTAAATTATTTAGTTATCCTATTTAGTTACAGATAAATAATAATAGACATTTAACTATAGCGTGTATATTTTCTATTTGTTATTCTCTCAAATGTTGGTAAATCATTATATTATGCAAAACAGATATCTCATCAAAACAGCTGTTTACTGTTTAAATTTTTCAGTATAGTCAGTCATCTTTTGGCATATGGTACAAAACTGTGTGGGCAAAGCATACCTTAAATCTTCTACAGTCTGTTATAGAATTTATAAATCTGTTTCTACTGTTACACTATATGGGAAATGGTCACATTTTTATATTGGGCTTTTCCACTTTCAAGGCACTCAAAGCACTAAAGGAACCACTAACACACACATTCACACACACATTCAGACACCAGTGTAGGCAGATACTAGGAGGGAGGTGGGTTAAGTGTCAACAGCCCATTTCTACGGCCAAACTTGTCACTGAAATCAAAACATCCATTTAATTTCTAGGCAATGTCTTCAAAGTGGCATTTGAATCTGGTTTCTCTGTACACTAGTCATTTCAAAGCAATTGCATTTTTCCTGCAGCTGTGAAGACAATGAAGAAGATGTAATATAAACTGACACTATAATAGCTGGCTTACAGATATATGCTTTTGTCATTGCAGAGACTTAATTAGGGAGCTCAGCAAACAGCCACTGTGACCAATACAAATGCATCTCCTGTTCACAGACACATTGGTCTTATCATTGTTTATTATTTGAATGGTTCAGCGTGTGCAGGTTTATGAAGAAGCCATCTGTGTCCATTGAGCACTTGAGGACAATAAGATGCCTTGTATTTGCTGTTACACTTAAGCAGCTTTAATGGTTAAAAAAACGGTTTGAATTTTGAACATGGCTTAGTTCCATTTGGGGAAGCATATGGGCTGGCAAAGCTAAAACTTTTTGACTACAGCGGTAGTGAGAAGGCAGTGGGTTTCTTCATGTACAGAGCTTTGGTGGCAGCGCAATACAGTGTTATAGTAATAATAATGCATTAATCTTTTAGTGCTTGTCGATTTATTTAATGCAGTATTCATTCACTCCATACTCAGTGGTAGTTAGCTATACCTACAGCTGCCCGGGGGTCGACTGACAGAAGCAAGACTGCTAATTTCCACCATCTCTCACATTTCACATTCTTACTAGGCAATGTGTCTTGGCCAAGGGCACAATGACAGTTATCACTAGAGCCACTGCTGACCCACTATGGCACCTGGTATTCCCAGTGGTCTCCCATCAGTGTTATTTACCAGGCCCAACCTTGCTTAGCTTCTGAGACCGGACAGGCTTGAGCACTGACAAGGTGGTATTAACATCCTATATTTGCAAATGGTTAAATATATTGTAAAATCTGACACTTTTTCCCCAATTTTAGTATTTAGTCTATTTTAATTTACATTTACTGATAGATAAAACAATATTTAGGATAAATTTTACATCTGAAGTCATAATTTGTATTTCTGAAGTATTCCTCCGACTAAAAGCAAAAAGGAAAGCTGGACTATCCCACAGAGACTCTTTAACATGGACTGGTCCCAGGTGTGCCTGTGGGGATGGCTTGTCCGCTGTACGCACCAGACGCAGCAGTTGAGTCCAAATAATGAATGAGGACACACATGGGGTGCTTTGAGAGCCAAACTGTTCTGGCAGAATGCTTCTGAAGTGAGGCCATTTCAGCCCAGTTTATCCATGCCATTCAAATGTGCTCTGTCCGGTGGAGCATTCACAACAGCGTACTACAGTATAAACCTCTCATATATTATTTCTTTTCATCATCTACTTCATGCTTCATAGGCCTTTTGAAAGACTGCAGTAGCCTCTTTTCATGGCTCAAAAACAGAAACTAGTTACTTGGAATGTTACATTTTTGTGGTGTGCTTTCTATTTTATAATTGTGTTTCAGCATCAATGTCCCCACCTAGGTTTATCTAATTTACCAAGAGCAATTACCACTGTGATGAGAATGTTTTTACTGCAACAAGCTAATTAACCCTGAATGGCGCAGTGACATGACTTGCGCTGCTAAAGGATAATGATGAAGCATTTTGTAAAGGAAAGTTTAAAAAACATCCAATAATAATTTAGTAATTTTAAATTTAATTATACAAGGCTATAGAAAAAAAAATGATGCAAACAGTATCAGGACTTAAATTTCAATTGGTTTGACAAAAAAATCTATCTCAGCGACTGTCAATGAACTCCACTCAGTCATTTTCTCCGCTTATTAAAAATGGTACAACTCTTTTCCTCTATTCCTCTTCATTACAATTATTATCTATTTTGTCTGTACAAAACCAAGTTAATGGGTGTGGTTATACTCAAAATGTCAAAATGTGATTATTATACAATCTGAGTTATAACCATAAAATTACATGGATACACCAAAATTATCTGATTTCTTTCTGAGCACGGTCCCCCTGATTACTCACACCAGATTTTGTGGTTTGTTTGTAATTTAATAGGGATGGGGCAAGACACAATTTCCACAAGACGAGATACGAGATTTGGTTCACGAGAAAAAGATGAGATTTTTATTAAATTCCTAATATATACATTTCATGACTCAGCTTTCAATTTTGGCCTCACATTTTTTTTAAAACTTCTTTCCTTTCTATTACTGTTTTTTGCTACTGTAAGAGATTTAACTCATCAATAGGCACTGTAACCCTTATTTGTCAAATCTAAATGTAAACACTTGAAATCAGATAATCAGATTTTGCAAACAACCATGCACTATTTTATTGTTGCAGCACTGTTTCCTCACACCCTTAACTCATTCTGCAAAGCTCTTGGTAATTTAGTGCTGAAAGTCACCTTGTACTTGTTTGTGGAATAACAGATCATTCTGTTACACTGTATATAGCCATCTATCTGACGAATAGTGCTGTGTCATGAGCAGAGCCTGTTAGAGCTGAGACCTCTTGCACAGCTGACTATTATGGAAGCGTTCCAAAATGGCTCTCCATTAGTATAGAGGGGTCATGATATGGTCAGGCTTCCATCAACCCCTGGGTTCACACTGGTTTGTTTGATTATCCCAGACCATATAACATACAGTAATATTAGTTATGATTAATTACTTTTTTATGCTAAGATAAGCCCTCAGGCATTTATTCATGTAGAAATTACTCTTGTAAGATGTTTTGACTAAAAACAAATATACACAGATATTAAATGTGTGAATCTCTGTGTGGAGGGCATGACTATTATATGTATTTCTGGCGTAAATTTGTTGGGCTCAGTAGAATATTGAAATGCATCTGTCTTCTGTCTGTCTGCCATAATTGCAGCACACAGTTTTTGTGGCAGAGGCCCCCTGCAGACTCATGACTTTCAAATGAGCTGTCTCATCTTGGCCCAGCTGTGGGGATCAAGTGCTTAAGCCTTTGTCTCATCGGGACGCCCTTATTTACACAATATACACTGCCATGTTGTCGAAATAAACAGTTAAATGAACCTCAGATTGAGATAGCATTGGTTGCAATAAAGAGGCTTGACTTTTTTTTCTGTTGCAAGCTTGCAACTTTGCTTTAACATCAGTGCTCCTTTATTGATATTGTAATAAGTGCACTATGCTTTTCAGGTGGAGGGTCTGCGTGCCATCTGCTTGTCTCCGTGGACAATTTAGTGGTTTGTTTGGAATGTTTCACGGTATGACATTAAACTTATCTACCTTGCATTTATTTCTGTTGTTAAAAAACAATACATCAAATGTGAGTGATGTTGCCCACAGATCTGACTTGTAACTTGCCCCTAAGCCTGTCACAATAAATACTATATTGATTTATCTTTCAGTATATGAAAGTTGGAACAATATATTTTGGGGCTCATTATTTATCGTGTGTACAATTTCTTTGCAATATTGGGAAGTTTGTGTTATTTTTGTTGTAATATGATGAGATTTGAGCTGCAGGGGGGGGGGGGGGTCACTTTTATAGAAAATAATAAATTATGCTATTCATTTGTAGGAGCACAGGTCTTTTAATGATACTGTATATTTAAAAATGGTTTGCTACAATTGTCCTGCTTTTTTGCTATTGTGTTAATGGCATAAAGTAGATTCAATATTATCCTTTATTCTTATATTTCAATGTAGTGATATATCGTGCTTCAAAATTTGTGAATATGATCAGTCTTATGGTGCCACCTGCTTGTCTCCTTGCAGAAATGTAAAGCCTATAGTAGCATATTGCTATCAGTATCCCACCCTGGCACATTACACCAGTGCTGTGGAGGTCAAGCTTAAAAGGCTCTCCCTAAGTGATGCTGATGTGCCTTGGTTTTCTAGTAATTGTCTGTGGGAAGCGTGTAAGTGAGGACTAATTGCATGTTGCTATGTTTTAATTAGTGCCAGAGCTTATTGCATGCTGCTTCCCCCAGTGGCCCGTAAAGCCACCCCAAAGAAGCAAACAGGCTCCAATAATATACATGAGTTAGCTGTGTGAATATAAGGGATTGTGACATCAGCAGGCATGTGTCAAAAGATACTGTTTAATGGTTATAAACTCTAATCTGTTAAGAAATATCATGATCAATGGCAAAGCAAAGGAGCCACTTAAGAGACTCACTTGATCTTCAGTATAAGTTGTGTCTTGGCTTTGAACAATGCATGGCAATGTTCTAAATATTACAGAAAATGAAATTATCTTTGGTTAAGGTCTCAGAATACTATCAAATGTAAAGAAAATTGTGAGCGTAGTGTGCACATATTTTATATTTTCACAGCTATTTTAATGGACCCAAAACTTTATACATAAAAATAGAGCAAAGGAATCAATTTACACTCAGCATATTCAGATGAGATAAACAGGGTCTGCTTATTGAACAGTATTAGCAGTGGAGGTCATTAAAAAGAAAATATGTAAATACATTTTTGTGTGAACTGAAGACTGTCAAAATAGCCCTAATTGTCAGGTATGGCATTGGAAGAAGCCTTCAACTGCTTATTTATTCATTCATTATTTTTCTTTATTCTCCACTTCACCTCAGAAATCCTTGGGTCAAATTATTTCTTGCCAAATCTTTGGGGCACAGCCATACTCCAGATCTGGCCTGGGATAGCTTCTCCATCGTGGGACATGATCTGCTCCTCTGACAGCTGTGACCCTCTGGAGTTGCGACCAAACCTGCTCCCGAAAGGTATAAAGAAGACCAAAACATTATGGTCATTAATTCAGTATTTTTTATACATTCACAGTATGAAATCTCTGCAAGAACTTTTAAAAATGTATCAAACAGACCTTTGTGGTTGGTGCAAAACAGAGTTCCTGGTTTCTCTCTGAGCTCCAAAAAGCAGTGCCTTTAGCGCCAAGGTTAGCAGACGCTCATCAACTGTGTTGTCTATGCTTTCACTTTCCTGAAGACACACACATAATCTTTAAGCAAGCAATTATTGTCACCCTAAAAGCAACATGTATTACTGACTTTTCAGCTCAAGCCTGGGGGCAGTGAATGAAGTTGATTGGTTTGGGTGTAACCTACAGACTGAACGTAGAATGATGTCTCAACTAGGTTCAAGCTTATCCAGATGTGTCCTTTAGTGTTGGTACAGTATCTTCATAGTATATAAGATCATAGATCCGCCAGCATATGTTTCCTCAGCTAAATTATGTTGAATATCCTATGTATACTGATAATGTAATAAGATAAAACAACAGTTATCTTGTTGCATTACGGTATTAGATTGTCTGGTATGATATTTAGTTTCACATAACAAAAATATGAAAGTGAATATAAGATTGTTGGAGTGCTTTCTCACCAGAAGGTTGTCCTCTGTGTTCTCCTGTGATCCACTGGGCACGATGTCCCCTCTCTGTACACCTCCTTGGATGTGAAGAGCCTGACTGACCCCCGCTACTGCCAGGACAAGGGCTAGGACTGTGACCACTGCAGCTGTGTCCATAATGGTCAGGAGGAGACCAGTGGGTGAGAGATCTCTGTAGAAGTCTTCAAAACAAGTAGAGAGCCACAGGCTGAAGGTGAAAATCTGTGCTTCATGGTTTTTAGTTTCTTCCTTATATACTAGACACATATCCCCAGGAGACATGCAGAAAGACACTCACTAGAGACCAGGAGGAACCAAGGGACAAGACCTAATATGAGACTTAAACATGTCCATTTAGAGAGAATTATTGATGACTGAACCCACTGACGCATTATAAACTCCTCTGGGTAGTAACGGGACATCGTTGCTAGTTATTAACTGATAAATCCCTGCAAATGGTCCTCTAAACTGTGTCCCTTTTGTCCAGTGCATTTGGACAGCACCCAGGGAACTTATTCATGTGTCAATGGGCAGTTGCCAAGTCCTCAAATCTGAACAGCTCACAAATGAATAACTAAATGTCTCAATCTAATAATAATGATAACAATAATAATGCATTTGATTTAGATCGCTTTTTTGAAACTCAAAGACGCTTTGCATTTCATTATTCATTTGCTTCAGATAACAGTGGTTAGGTACTACTATGTCCATAGCTGCCCTGGAAAAGACAAACAAAACACATATCACATGTATGTATGTATGTGTTTTCTCGCACTGGGATGGATTTAATCCTTCCCACTCCATTTCATGCATCAGTGTTTAATTTGTTTAGGAGCCAGTCTTGGACTTGGATAACTTGTACAGATTGTATTCCTCTCTATACCACTGTTTATTCTGCACATGACATACAGTATCTCAAAATAAAGTGTCTTTGTTAAAAACACAATTGTGTTTTTAGGAAAGATAGATTTCCACTGGTCCAACTGGAAATCGATCCTCTAGGGGATTACAGAGCAAAGCATGTTATTGTGGGAGGGAAGAGAGAGGGTTTTGACCATTGCAAATTAAACATGTCACAAAAACATAAATGTGTATCTTGGAGAGAATTGTTCAATAACTTCATTATTTGTGCATTATTACAAAATGGAGGCTATTGTCTAATTTATCATTGGATTTCAAAACCCAACAACCATTGGCAACTAAATAAAACAAAACAAACAGACAAATAAATAAATAAGAAAAAAATATATATAATAAATTTCAGATCAGTGTGAATTAGATAAAATAGCTTATTCAAGTTTATCCGATATTTGTTTGTGATTTGAAAATGTTCCTGAAACTAGCTTGGGAAATATGGGCACTGATGGGACAGATTTATACATTTCTATTTGACAGGAGTGCAGTGTTAAAGAGGCTTCTTAAATGTTAAAATTGTGTATTAGGGCAACGTGATGATCTTGAGCGTGTTTTAGTAATGATAGATCTTGACTCTATTTTTGGGTAATGATGACACATTTAACCAGCCACATCTCCCCTATTAGTCACTTTCTCTGGTTGTCTATAATACTTGACCACAGTCAGTTGGTCTAATTCACACTCACAGAGGAGGGAGCAGCATCTCTAAGCACCATGGCAACTGCAGTGACATAGGCTAATTCTGATGAGAATCACTATGATCATAGATGTCTTTATTCTGGGCAAGGAAAGGTTGGTTTTGATGGTTTCATAAAAAATGGCTAACTTTTGGTCCAAATCAGAATGCTGTCATTTTTACAGCTGGCATTGTAGGCAAACCTATAAAGCTTTACCGATCACCCTTAAAAGAGCAAGGTAATCCCAGTGTAACTTTCCTGTAATTTGATTAGACCTACTGGTATCGCTGCACTATGCCTGGCTAGGCTACATGATGCTTTAAATTTCAGCATTTTAAAGATAGGTCAAATACAGAGGAGGCTAAATAATTTACAGAGATTAATAGGCCTATTTTTAACCTTAAGAAAGCCTCAGCTTTAAAATCAGCTATGACAGTTCTCACCCTTTTCTGGTTGTCAGTCAGTCAGTCAGTCAGTCAGAATTGCGGGCAAAGGCAAAGAGAGCGACTCAAAAACAGTTTTCTCTTCTTTTCACATTGGCAGTTATGCTTGGTTCTTGAGCTATACACTTTTCACACTCATGTGTGATCATTGCAATGGTAAAATTGAACTTGAGCTGATATGTAGTATAGTATATATCACTGAATGTTGCCTATTAGAGTCTGTAAGCACCAACAATGACGCACTACTGCCCTCTACTGGATCTACATCTACAATCTGATGGTAGCTCCAAACACTAACAGAATTCAGCGCCCTACTTATATTTTCCATCAATATTAATTGATCGATCGATCAGAAAAAAAAGTTATTTTTTTAATTCTATTTTTTTCTTTATTTAATTTTTTTATTATTTAATTCTACGACTGGTGCATAGATTGTATGGACTGGTGTTTTTTCTATTGTTGTGATAAAAAGTGATGTTTAACCACTGACTGAAAATTAAGGTCTGAGTCAAAGAGTTGTGTTTGCGGTGTATTTTAATGCTTTGCAAAAGGGGATAACACAGAAGGAACAATGGTCATTCGGTGATGGCCAGAGTGGGGCGCTCACGTTTTCTTCGGCCGTGAACGCGACATTGCGCTGATGACCCGGAAGTTTACATCAGCGTTCTCCAGGCAACGCTAAAGCTATCGCAGTCTTCGGTCTTTTTAATAAACAAGTACACCGCTACAAACTGTTTCTGGTCCTCAAAATGGTATAAGTATGATACAATGCAGTGTTTACTTTCCCAAAATACTTTTTCTAACTGTGATCGTAGCGTTGAAATGTAGCATCAGTAATGCTAGCACAGAAACGGGCGTTGTCAGATTAGCTAGCCCCTCTTTGTGTCTTATACTCATGGATCTATTAAAATAACAATATAGCCTACTCTATGATATTTTCGATGAAAAAGCTAACTAATCAGTGTCTAGGTCAAACGATTTTCCATGTATCACATTGTTTCAGTTAACGATAAAGTGTGTAAAGCTGTGCTGTTCTCTCAGGCTGAAGTAGAGGAAACATTAAAAAGGATTCAGAGCCAAAAGGGAGTCCAAGGAATTGTTATTGCCAACTCAGAAGGTAAGCTCAAGATTTCACGTTTAGCACAAAGCTTTGATCTTCATACTGTATTATTAACATTAGCCTTGTCTGTAGTTCTGATCGTATTGTGCATGGCATAATACGATCGCTTTTCCCCACATTTACTTCAGTGCTGTACAGCGTTTGTTTCCATATAATGCATTTTACAACAGTTTTTCCTGTGTATTATGTAATGATGATTTCAGCCTAGCCTGTTTTAACTGCGCTTGTCATGTGATCATTGCTATTCTGGTTACAATGCATGCTGTTGTCTTTCTTGGTTGACATCAACACAGGCACTGCTCAGATCAAAACTCTCCAAGGGGGAAAAATACAGTTTATCTGATTTATATTCAGTTCATCAGAAAATCTTAAATCGTTTTTTGCGGACAAGCATTTTTTCCCTCTTTCTCTGCCTCTATTTCATGACCCATCTAAAATTCTGTACATGTTGCTGAATTTCCAGGAATTCCTATCAAGTCAACACTAGACAACACCAGCACAGTGCAGTACGCAGGTCTGATCCACCAGCTCTTACTGAAGGCCAGAAGCACTGTACGAGACATTGACCCACAGAACGACCTCACCTTTCTCCGAGTCCGCTCCAAGAAAAATGAGATCATGATAGCACCTGGTAAAATAAAAAAAAATAATAATAATAATATATAATATATATATATATATATATATATATATATATATATATATATATATATATATATATATATACATATATTTGAAAGTTTCCTTGAATTAATATATTTTTCTTCTCTCCACAGATAAAGACTACTTTTTAATTGTGATTCAGAATCCTTCAGACTGAAATTATTTATAGACCTACCTAAAGTACATTGTAATAGTTAGCTTCTTTGTCACAACAAATCTCAAAGAAAATTGAATACATAATACAAAGGCGAAGTGATTTATAGCCCACAGATTAAAGGATATTCCAGTAAGTTTTGATGGCCTGTATGTATCTGTATATTAAAATACATTAGCAGTTCTAAACCGAATCTGGAATATCTATTTTATGCTGTGGGTACTCTTGCATTCCTAAAGTCTCTCTTCTGCAGTTTTCTTGTTGCCATCATAAAGCTCAAGATAAAAATAGGAACGTGATAGTTACCTGCTCAATGTGCATAATTTCTTCAAGTAGTAATGCATGTATTTATATTTTTTGTTTTTTGTTTTTCCATCTCTTCTACTGTGCTTAGTGAGCGCCCCAATAGCTCTCATGATGTAACACAATAAAGAAAAGTTATGCTATCTTTTGCAAAATGCTTGAAGGGTATAGACTTAGACTTAAACAGTCTTTACTGATCCACAAGGGAAATTACTTGGACACAGTAGCTCACATATCATGTTATATTACATTAACACAGAATAAAAAAATAAATAAATAAAAAATTCAAAATAAGTAGCAATAAAAAATAGCAGGAGATTAATATTAATAAGACATAAATTATATAAATGTATAAGTACAGAATGACAAATAATATCTCTACCACAGTTAATCAATAGAATTTGGGTCTTTTTGAATGGAACTTAATAACATCCATCAATATAGCGCATGATTTGACATTCAAAGGTTTTGGGGCCTGATGTGCAAAACATCCATAGAAATACATTTGCAGAAATATGCTAAACAAATAAGCCTCGGAATAACCCAATAAGCTCAAAAAGGGTCAGTAGTGGTAAATACTTAAATCACACTATAGTGTATTGAATCAACACTGTCAGTTTTCCTGCTATGGTAGCCGTATATGGGGAAACAACAAGGCTCAAATAAAATAAATGAACGAGATACTATGCTTAATATTACACATCTTAAAATCTCCATTGGTTAACACACTAACAGAAAATTGTATATGTGACAACACAATTCCATGCTTCATTTAAAGGTGCACTATGTAACATTTTAGTTGGAGGCCCATCACCTGCTTGATTCGGTGGAGATGACATTCTGCCTTGAATGTTCCACGGTATGACATTAAACAGCTCTACCTTAAATTTATGAAATTACAACTCAAAAATACAGTACTTAGAAAAACAAGAATATGAGCCTCTGTGTGTTGCCTCTTCACAGATCTGACCTGTAGCTTGATCTGGTTTAGTCTCCATGAAGATAGAACAGTTTAATACTATACTGTGAGACATTACAAACAAAACAATAACATATGGAGAAAAGCATTAGACAGACCCTCTACCAAAAGTTACATAGTGCACATAGTGAACCCTTTTCACGCCGATTTCAAACTTATTTCTGTAGTTAACATAAAAGGCAGCCGACTATTACTTCCTGATCATTCATTAGAACGTAATTGATACCGTTTACAGTAAAAGGTGGTGCACCGTTCCTGGAGGTACTGCGATACCAGGTCGATGCGCGGAGTGGACGGGGCAAGCTCCTATTCCAACTCCCTGTTCCAAAAATCAAGTTAATATATGGTCCCCGGGTAGGGGACGTATCAGATATTAAACTGATAAGAACAGATACTACACTTGATCTTAGCCAAAAGGCCGAGAAGCGATAACCATGTAACTGTCAAAGAGAAGGACCACTATTTCTTCCATAACTGTTACTCAAGGTTCACGTGAAGTTACGTTCTCCTCAATTTTGAACGGCACAAGTTTAATATATTCCTTGCCAATAATCAAGTTCGTGATCTAAGTAACAACATAGTTTCTTCTTAGCTGATTCAGCAATTACATAACTATTACCCATGGTAACACACGCATGTGAAGCATATCACGAAACTGACTACGGTCCTATCACCACGCAGATCTGACTTAAACCTTCAACGCGTCCATCGACTTCTTTCATGGGTTTAGAGACTTAAAAACACAGTCGGGACGTCATATGGGAATGCACAACGCCTTTGATGAAAATACGTTTATTTGAAGAAACTAACGAAACCTAGGCCTAAACATGTGAATACTTTTTGACAATTTTTGGTCACCTGCGCCCCCTAATCCAATGAAAAACGAATGCAGTTGGGTCTATCGGTCGCAGCTCTTAGTGCAGCTGTGTAGAAACCTATGCCTATATCGCGGTAGTAAGTGCCTTCAGATGAAGGCCCTCTCCCGGTATTTGCTTTAAACTCGCTGCATGCAGTTAAAATACATTGACAATGAATTAGACCCAGTATTTTTAACCTACTGCATGTGCCTGCAGGAGGCACTATAACATCTGTTTACAACTGCTCAACAGAATCCATCAGCTCCACCAAAAGAAAAAGTAATTACATTTGATTTGAGTTCAGACTAATGCATTATTTTAGACTTGTAAGACAGATCATACTTATGTTTACATAAGCCAGCAATTTAACCTATTTACTTTATTCACTTTCCAATTTCACAGGTGACCATTGTAACCACATAAAACAAACAGCTCACGCCCTGCCTGAAGCCTCTTTCAGCCTGTACTTGTTCACAAAAAGCCTATGCATAGTCTATGTAATTAGACAATATCCCAGATTTTTTTTTTATTATTTTCTTTTTGAATATGCTCAAAATTAATGAGATTTTGCACCAATGTACAACTTTCCACAAAAGGCAACAAATTCTTCTTGCATTAAAATGAATAATTGAATTAGCTTTTTCTCTAAACAGACTCCAAACTCTTGTCAAATTGATGTTAAACCACATATAATCAGTGTCAGAGTATCAGGCTGAAGTGATTCCTCCAGCACAACTCCAGAAAAGATAGCCTATATCTGTGTCAGATTATCTTATTTATTTGATTTATCGTTTTGTATCGTTTTGTCTGGTAACAAATGAGATGTGATTCGCTATTGTGTCTATGGGTTCATATGGATATGACATTATCTTGCTCTGATCTAACCTCTGTCACAGAAGACAAATATTAATTACATACTGTGGAAAGCCGCAGCGAGCAGGGACCTGTCTAACCCTTGGCCTGAAGCCTGTATTTTCTTCTTTCTTTCTGCTTTGTAATCAGGGCACATTCATATATCTGATTTGACATATTCCCCCTTGTCAGCAGGTGTATTCCCACGGCCCTGTCTACCCCACAAGTACACATGGTGCACCTCAGTCCTTTACCTGCCTCTTGTCTGTGTAGCCTTTAACCTGACCATGCATGGAACAAAATTGGGTCATGTTTCATGGGGGTTTGGTGTGGCGGGCTGGGGGCAGCTTCATGTGTCCAAGACTTTTACTGCTAAAGCTGGTGTTTAAGGGGTTAAAATTGCATGGAAAATATAAAATATAAAAGTTTTTTAATCTATGTAATGGTCTTAAAGTAATAACAACATGAAACCACTTAACTGGACATAGAAGGGTTAAATCTGCTCATTGTCTCATGTTGGCGTTATTCATTATTATGAGTCTGTTTTTGAGTCTGTGAATGCATAATTAAAATGGTAGAAGACACTGGTTATTTGGTTATTACCTAAGCCACAATGCAGCTTCTATCCACCATCCACAAATTGCATGTGAACAGCTGATAGACAACAATAGATCTTTTGTGTGGTTTATTTTAAATTCATCCTTCTAGTTGGCATTTTCTGTGGTGAGGAGAACGAATAGAGTGTGGACAATGGGCAGTCTCACACGTATGAGCTGTAACCTTTAGCTGTGAGCCAAAGCGGCTTCACCAGAGCTGTTCTGTCAGAGAAGTGGGAGGACAGCCACAATCTTCGACTGTGAGCTTGGTCCACAAATCAGGTTTAAAAATCTTTAAAGTATTTGTTAAGTACAATGTCTGTGTAATTGCCTCGGTCATCCTCGTAGAATCCATGGCAAAAGAAAAATTATATTCTGTCAACATGGACACAAGTTTTTTGAGTAACTCATCTACGCGGCTTCTTCAGTTCTGGTTAGATTCTCAGTGGATCTGCCTGAAGGGGAAAGTTTTTTCCAGTTGACAGAAAAATATTTTTCTTTTGCTATTTGTAAGCACATTATGAGACTCATTATACATGCCCTGTAAATGCCATATAGTCAAACTTCTGTAATTCTGATTAATTCTCATGGATCACCAAACCATGAGACCTCACAGTCTTGCTAACAGAAAAGTAACTATAGTCAGAGACGCAATAAGGATTTAAGTATTTTTCTTAAGGTCTAAGTCTGCCAAACAATTACTGTTAAGAACAATATATGTGTGTATTTCCTCTTCCAGAAATAACCCCCATAACTGGTCATTACTTCCCACAAGTGTACAGTTTAGAAATTGTGGCAATAAACCACACCCTGCAGCGATAATATGTGCAATTAAGCGATGTATGATAAATGAACAATGATATAGAATCAGCAACCACCAACAATCCCTTTTTAAACTTGGTCTCCTATTTTTTAAAAACTTTGGCATAGCTGAAGGTTAATTACACTCAAAGGACATAACACCAAAATAAACGCTTTTGTTGTATTTTTGACTTTTTGACACAAATCCTTGGATGAATCTCGTAACGGTTCTGGTGTTTTTAGGCACAAAGGCCAAAGTCTTTAGTGTCTTTAAAGAGCTGTGTTCATTCACAGCACAGCCGGCCCTGTTGTGTTCACTTCACACTGACTTCAGTCTGCCAGCACTACGGGCTCATTATGTAACCAAGACTTCACCATGAGTGACGTACAGTGTCCTCCCGACTCTGCTGTTTTTGTAAAGACTTGGAAAGACACACAAGCGGCAGGTACAAAATAATGCTCCACATACTTAAAGAAAACATAATGTGTAACTCAAAGTGTAACTCAATACTACGTGCATTGAGTTACACTGAGAAAATGGATGCTATACACAAATAACACAGTGTAGTTCACATCTCTGTTCATGAGTACACAGTGAAAGTTTAAACCAGTTTATGGCATGACCTTATAGCAGGTGAATGTATAGCATAATTGCCCTTGTCGTCCAATAAGACTGACTACACTTACATTAGCAAACAGTGAAAAAGACCATGCTTATAGTGTAAAAACTGTGACAAAGTTATAAAAAGCCCCCAAAAAGGTCCGAGGCACTCTGCTAGTGAAGGTAAAAGTAATTGCTTACATGGCACTGAGTATATGACAGTATAAATATATACAGAAAAATTGGACCAAGAGCCTTTGAGAAGAACATTTACAATATTTACAACATATCTGAGACTGGAGGAAGGTAAATGGAGCAATTTAAAAGAAATTAAGTGTTATTTAATGGATCCATCAGAGAAGTATATTTCGTCATTTAGACCAAGATATTGAGTAGCTCTTAAGGCATTGATCCAATGGGCTCTATTCACGCTTACACCACAAAATCAAAAGACATTTAGAAACATGCGAATGACGACTTCCTTTGAGCTCAGTTGGCGATAGTAACTCAAACAATATCTGGGAAAACTGAGAAACTCTTTCAGTTACCTAGTTGGAATATTCTTTTTTTGATCATTGTTTGTACATTTTGTGTGCCATGCTGATGTACTACAAAGAATGAAAATTTTGTTAACGGATGGAGAGGTTCTTTTGTAGCCATTCTATAAAAGTCTGGTAAGCATATTCTATATGATTTGCTCAAATTCGGTGTCTGAATGGCAGATCTTCCCTAATCTTTGGAAGGGACTTTATGGAATGTTAGAAATTAGTTTTTTTATGGTGTAATAATGTTTTTATCAGTGCTCTTCCTGAAGATGGATGTGTGTGGATTTATTTGAATATCGAGCTCATCCTTGATAACAATCAGAAAGAAATACATTTCAAGGATTTAAAAATCTCTCTGGATGAAATTGGACTCACTTCACTTTCAATTCAGTTTGAGCCCTGTATTCAAGGAGCACCCGTTCAGTATTTTCACTTAGAAAACCACCTGAAGCTCTCAGCTTTCCTGTGTATTATTAAACTTGGATTAATTTGGATTAATTTGTGAAATTGAGCTCCCTTGCAATACTTTAGCATAAAATGCAAAAAAAAAAAAAAAAAAAAAAAAAAAAAATGCATGTTGCTTGTACAAGAAAGTGGACATAGTAATAAAACTTTTATTCTTATTGATAAAAAAAACGACTGAGCATCACCCATATCTGTTGAGGCAACTATGCTAACACGTTCTGCCACATTAATCACTGTTAAGAGTTACTCTTGTGATCCAAGGCTAATTATTTCAACTGAAATACAAAACTGACCTTTCAGATTTTTGAGACAGTTGCAGCAAAATGAGCATGGGCTCATAGGTTGAGCTATGCAATACAGTGCTATGCTTATGCTGGGACAAATTAGTCAAAAAGGTGTTGGTAATAGTTACTTTTTAACATCTACACCATTACATTGTTCAGAGATAGTCTATGGCCAACATATAGCTTAGACAAATCCAGCTGTTCTTTGTCATAAACATTATTTTATTTCTTCGAAAAATACATGATCACAACATTGGTGATATTGCCAATAAAGCTTCAGAAAACCTGTTTATCCACCTGTGTTGCAGTTTCCCCCTATAGCCTGCCCTTACATAACATATTGATATTTGTCAATTTCCTGTGTCACATTGTATCCAAATTTTCCCTTTGTCTCCATTTCAATGTCACACGTGAAATGCATTGTTTTTAATTATAGTGCTTTGTTGACTCACCAGTTTCAGCTAACCACTCATAAGAGCAAACAGAGGCCTGGAGGCTGTGAGTGTTACAAGGCTGATAGCAATAAAGTGACTTTTCCCCAGTGTGTTACAAAGCATGACTCAACTCAGACCCATGACCAGTATCTGTAACGAGAAGCAGAACCTTTTAGGGGCTCATGTTAATGTGCTAATTTACTTAGTCAGGGGGAAAAAAAGATATTGTCAACTGAATTTATGAGTATTACGAGTGGCTCTTGATTCCCAGAAGTGTCTAAATGTGAAAAATGTCACCTAGTTTTATGGGTTATCATTGAGTGACAGGTTCATCAAACTGTGGACCTGATAGAGTTCACTGGAGTTCATAGCAAAATGAATATTCATTTACTTTTCATTTACAGTTTGGAATTTGCCACTAGCGCTCAGATATGTCAGCTCTTATGTTAGGCTGAGTTCTTCTCTCACACAGAAATGGTGTTCCACCTTGGGAGAACACCAATGGAGAACCAAATGGTAATGCAGAAAGTGCTCTACTCTGTTTTTAAATCTCCATGCATCTTCATTAAAATCATTTGGATGGTTTCAGCCCTGAAAATGCCAATCTTTACTAAAGCCAAGGAAAACATATTAACTTGAAAACTACAACTATGTGACATCACAAGGTGGAACAGAGCATTTTGATCTTTGGAGATATAGACAGATTAATATTAAAGGATTACTGAAACATGTGTGAATGAAACAAAACACAATTCCAAATTCCAAACAAAAAAACAACTCCAAGTGTGTTTTTGAGGAGGTGAATGTGGCTAAAATCTCACAAGAGTCAATTTTGCCTAATGTAGGATCTTTAAACCCTTTATGCTCTCTTTAATAGTGTAATTATATTATAAATGCCTGTTTTACCTCTCAACGTGACCTTCTTTTTTGAATTCAATAGATATATTATTTTGTTATAAATTGTTAATCACATGACAATGGACCTAATTATTAATAATTTGAAAACTCATGCATACAGTAAATCTTAGCAGTAATATACAGTACCTGATGTTTGAGTTAGGGTGAGATGTCTGTCTGGTGTGACTACTTTGTTCCACTTATCTCAAGTATGTAAATCCTGTCAGAGTACAGTCCCTGTCCTTATCCAAACACGATGATGATGCCAAACAGCAACACTTGAGTCTGTTTGCTCTCACTTAAATCAATATTACACATGGTCATTGCGGTCTAACATGTTTATGACTGTCACGATGATCTTTTGGTCTCTTTACACAGTCTAACCTTTTGACCCAGCATATCCGCCTCAGAGTTTTTGGGAAATATAACCTTGGAGCATTCAGCATGTTTACAAAGTTTTATAAATAGGCCTAGTTTCACATTACACATACATATGAGATTTTTAATTGTGATTTGATTACTCACCTAGGCCAGTCCCAGTTACTATTGTGTCGTGAAATACAGATTATAAGCTTTAAACAAACACTAATTGAGAATGTCTGTAAACAACAATTACCAAACAAAAGCTCTGAAAACAAACACACAGTTTTATCAAGGACAACAGGGATGGGACAAGGATGTAATGCCCCACTATTTTAATTCTGAAAATAAATAATGCCATGAACAATTACATCATAGTACAATAGTGTTTTAGACTGTGATTCATTGCCAAACACACTCAGAGGGACAAAGTTATACACAATAAGAAAATTTTAAAAGTTACTATTGTTAGTGTTAGGGTACATTAAGGAGAAGACTATGTGGAATCAGACAGAAGATGAGAAATGGGAGCAGCTCCTGACCTCTCTGCAGCCAGGGCGCCAGATCATTACTCCTCTCAATGTGTCATTTCTGAGACAGGAATAGCAGGTACATAATCATTTTGTAAATTACTAGGTCAGAGCCCCAGTGGGATGAAGCGGAATTTATGTGATGAAGTTGAAAATAAAATGATAATTCCACTTATTTCAGATTTATGTCATCTTTAATTCTTATTGTCCAAATCTTGGGCATGTTTCTTTGTTAATTCACAAGTTTCAATTCTGTTTGCTTATTACTTGGACTTGGATAAGATTGAGGTAAACAAGAATGAATCTTTGGGCCTATTGAGGTGGCAGTAGAAGCAACCTGTACACTTGTAACAGAGGAGGACAGAGACAGGAAGAGAGTCTCAGGGGACTAAGCGGAGTAGTGTTTCACGTCATGTGACTGATCTTATCCACGAAAGTATCTTCCCTATAGGTAGATAGCAGACATCGTCAGGGTGGGCTACTTCTTTATTATTTTCAGTAATGTATACATTAGTTCAGCAGTCACTGTTATTCTGTTGTTTAAAATAGAAATAGGGCTAAAAGTTATGTCATAAACAAGCAGATAGGTCTTTGTCCAAAGCTATGGGTACAAGATTTATTTGGATGGATTTGCCATAATAAAATTTACTTTGTTAAATGTTCGTTTGTTTTGTTAGGGTTGAATTCCAAAACGGATAACGACCTATAGGCTAGTAATAAGATTATGGGCTTTTCTGAATTTTGTCTAGAGCAGACAGACCAGACTGACGAGAGCAGCAGAGGGCAGGAACAGCGCTTAGTGGGCGGGGTCTTTCCAAAAGAGCCAATGGCGTGCAGGTAGCCCACAGGTGAGAGTCGCGCGCACACTGTCCCTGAGCGCGGACACGCACTACGCTGAGGCAGAGAAGAGTTGTCTGCCTGTTCACCGAGGCTCCTGGGATTCCACAGAACAGACGGGCAACTGGAGAAGCCAGGACCATTACAGCTCACACAGGACGCAGCTCTTTTTGTTTGGATTATTTCCTGCTTTGCCGCTTTGAGCTTCACGCAGGGCAGTGAGTGCGGGGACACATCACGTTGATCTTTTTCATAGTTTACTTTTGGTTTATTTCGACACTTGTATTGTTCAGTATCGTTTATTGACACCCGCTTTTGTTTCCTTATTCGACTCAGAATGGAACTTTTCTTTTGTTTATAATCATGTTTGTACAGAAGGGGTAGTTTCTTTATACTTGTAGAGTTTTATTCCTTAGTTAGTTGGACTTTTTGAACTGTTTGGACAGATGATGATAAGCTCCGAGGGCCTTAGGCCATCTTCCAACGGCCGGAAGCCGCTTGGGAAGCTCGCGTCGCGGCTGGAGGAGGTAAAGAACCCTTGGCGACAGGGCTCCACTCTTGAACTAAGCCACAATGAAGCTGCGCGCCTGGCCACGGACGCACTGCTTGAGCACGGGGAGAAAGAGTACCGCCGGGTTTTGGCTGAGGAACGGGAGGTTACGTTTTTATCCCCTTTGGAGATCCGGTATATCACGCAGCACGCTGCCAAAACAAGTTTGGACTCCAACGGTACCGGCCCCAACGACCGGGACTTTGGGGATGGGGATGCAGTATCGGAGCTCACCTCGGGGACGTATTTCCCCATGATGTCAGACGAGGAGCCCCCTATGCTGGAGCTGGGTTGGCCCGAACCGCCTGCCCGCTATGGACCGTCAGAGACGCAGATCTACTTCCAGAGAGACAAGTCCCATAATGTAAAGGATCTAATAAGGTCACTTATCAACAAGGCAAAGAAGGTAGAGACCCTATCACTCTTATGTATGTGTCCCACACAGATCTCTTATATATATATATATATATATATATATATATATATATATATATATATATATATATATATATATATATATATATATATAATGAATGTGTTGTTCATCTCATACCTCTTCTCTCCAGAACAGATCTTAATATAACTCACAAAATCTTATGAACAGAGTACACACTATAAATAGCACAAGGCTTAGATTAACAGTAGACGATTAATGAATTAGCAGAAGTGTCTGTCTCAACACGAGAAGTGGTCAGCTATAGACCTACTACACTATTACAAATAGTAGACTTCTATGGGCCTGCAGCACTGTCTATGTCTTAACACTAGTGTAGTCTGTATATATATGTGAAGGCTACTGCAGTGTCATTTAGCATACACGATGACACAGTGAAATAAATCATGTATTCCAACTTATTTCTTTGTAGTGTTTTGTAACTAGTTGCAGCTGATTAGGCTCACCCCTGTGTCTCTGACCTGTGGTAGTTAATTATTGTCAGTCTCTAGTGGATTCCACTTGGTTTGCTTACAAACAAATTGGCCCTGCTTCATGTTTGACCTGCTCTTATTCTAATCTGATGACCTGCCACACACTGTAAAATGATGCTGTAAAAACATGATTTTCTTCAAATATCCAGTTGACACTCCGTTTGAACCTGTCTGGGCTGAATGCTACAACAGTTAAATAAGAAGACAGTTGGTGATTTGGCAGAACGTCCAGCACACGCCGCATGAGTCACGTCTTCACAGACACCTCTCATGTATTAATAAATCATCCTGTGGCCAGGGCTGATAAAATACTCATACCTTTTGAGGACTGAAATACTAATTCAGCTGAATATATTCTGTTAAACTTAGACACATGCCATTGTGCAGAGTCAGCAGTGCTCTCAGAAGCCTGAACTCACGTGAATGTAACCTATACACCTCTATCAGCTCTCCTCCCAGCACCTGGACTCACTGTCTCTGTAGATCAGTCTCAGCTGATCACATCCCAGAGCTCTCATTAGTATTTTCCACTTCTCTTGTGCACATGTATGTCTATGTAGCTGAGACCTGGGCATGCCTAAACCTGTTTGTGTGTGCATACCTGTTGTTTTTTCAAGACTCATGCTTTTTAAACATTAGCAACACTTGAGGAGTTATACTGTGTTGATGAGTAATGGTATCCTGTCATAGCCATGCCCCTCACTATATAGAGAACTCCTGTTTGGCCTACTCATGATCAGTCATTAATTGTCAGAAATGTAAATAGTCTGGTTGTGTTGCTATAGGTGATAGCGCTGGTGATGGATGTCTTCACTGACGTGGACCTGTTGTGTGACCTCATGGAGGCGTCAAACAAGCGGAAGGTGCCAGTGTACATTCTGCTGGACGAGAAGAACCTGAGCTCTTTCACAGACATGTGCTCTGCACTGGACATCCAGAACTCGCATCTGAGTGTAAGTGCACATACTCTGACAACGGGCAAGTGATGAGTATTACACAAGTCCTGTGTTACCTCCAAAACTTCAGTGTGAGTCTGTCAGAAAGAAGTCATGGAGAATATTGCGTAATAAGTAGCAAAACCTTCCGACTGTGTGTCCAACAGTGTAGAACAGTATCTTGTTGTTTGCAGCCGGCAACAGGCCTAAGCAGGTTTGCATTTCTTTTAGCAAATACAACTTTACCACAAAGGCACATTACTTTGTGTCTAAGTATAAGAATAAGCATTTTGCCACTTAACGTTTCTGTCTGTAGCAGAGCCAAAGACTGCATTTTAATTTGTTCAAACCTTTTGTGTTGGCGATATAAAATCAAAGTAGTTTTTGTTAATAGTCACTGTCACACAGATATGCATATTTGATGTGACATCAATAGAGATGAATCAACATTACTTTGCTTTGCTGGGTATTTTTTGTCATAAATCTAGATTACATTGCAAGTCTTTAGTGTGCTTTTTTTTATTGTTTGTGCTTGTGTGTTGGACAGCACATGAGGATTCGTAGTGTTTGTGGAGACACATACTGCACCAAAAGTGGCAAGAAATTCACAGGTCAAGTGCTGGAGAAGTTCATGATTATTGACTGTGAGGAGGTCATCGCTGGGTCATACAGGTATGTACACTTGTCTTGTTGCATGGACCTTGTGGAACACAGTGTGCACTTACTTTTCTTAAGCCAGCCCCACCTCACAGGTGTCACTTTAGCACTTTTGATAACACCTGATCTTAAGGGATTGTTCATTAACTTTCTGCAAATAGAGTACACTTAAAACAATTGTTACTATGTATGAGAAAAAGGGGCTGAGTTGAGACCATCTAATCTTCAGATGCAGGGCTGCACAGATTCTGTCACTTGTGAAGCTTGGTTTTTGTAGCAGAACTTGTGTGAGGACTGTTGGCCCTCACTGATGTCACACTGCAGGCACAAACCTGTTACCCCCGGCTCCTGGCACAGAATGCACACGGGCACATTCAAGTGGATTTATTCAGTGTTGCTTGGACAACAGGCTGAGCAGAGCAAGGAGGGACTAGATGGAAAACAACCCAACTACCCAACTTACTTTTGATTTTGCAAACAGTGATTCAGAATAATACACTGTACATTACATAGTTCAAGCTATTTAAGATAGCCTTGAACTATGTATTGCCCTAATCTTGTCTGTCATGTGTTTTATGAAAACCATGAATATTTTGTCTGCTACTTAATGCACCTTCAATGTAATAAACTAAAATGCAAAGCAGGCATTTGTTTAACGAAGTTCCTTTAACTTAATAAATGTAACTATAAATCTTCTAGTGAGTCAATAACAGGAACTTCTTGGGTAAATATTTGTCAAGACCAAAATACCTATCGTGTGTATAAACAAATAGTCTTGCATTGTACATATGCAAAATAGGGAGTGACTCTTAGCAGATCATAAAGGGAAAGATTACGAAACCAGTTTAACCACAAACCATTTATATTCCCAAAGTTCTCTGGATGTTCACTTCCTTCATATTTACATCTACTCATAGCAGTAAAGAGCATTCAAAATTCTCAACCCCAACAGCCTGAAGGCACATTCAGTGAAAAGTGGGACCAGATGTAAATATAATTGGTTCAGGATGCACCATATTCACTCTAAGTCTAGTTGCCTTTTTACTTTTTTCCCCTATATTCCTATATGATAGTAGACTCTTGTGTGGCTTACCAATAAAGAGTCTTCACACCCACATTGCTACAAAATAACCTGTCATGAAAACAATCTGAGCCCAGGTCAGGTGTTTAGCAGCATTCTTTTGTGGTGGTGGTTAGATGTTTACTTAGGTTCACTGCTGCTGGTTCATGACAGCAGTGTAGCCCGTGTGTCCCAGTCACAGCGTCCCTTCTGTGGGAATCTGAAACTGTTATTCCGGCTGGATACATTTTCTCATGAACTTGAACAATACCTGATTTTCTCTATATGTTCTTGAACTATACATTTTTTGATACCTATTCCTTTATTAATCATCATCTAGAACAGGACAAAACAGACTAAATTATTATCCATTCCCACTGGGCATCCAAGCAAAAGTATTCTACTACTTAACTACCACTATCAGTTTTCAGCTCCATTTTTTTGTACCAGTAGTACCTAAACATTTTTATTTTATACCGTACATACATTCAAATGCTACTTAGCCGTACTTATGAACAGAGTATTTTTGAAATACAGTATCTGATGAGGAAGTTATGAATACAAAGTCAGTGCAATATATAAGGATCATATTTAAATGGAAAATACATGCCTAAACCTATAAGTAACATACAATTTCAAATGAATGACTGACCTTTCAATACATCTTATATGTTGATGCTGTAAGAATCTATAAGTGTAAAGAAATATTGTCTTGTTTAAACAGGATTACTGTAAATACACCTGGGAGCACAACCAATGATTATTTATTGTTATTGTTATATATTATAGTGAATAATTGAGATTTTATTATATCTTTTAACAAAATTTTAACCAGATGACCCTACAACCTCTTGAGGATCACGTAATACAACACAAAGATAAAGAAACAAATTTTTTATTATGTTTCAATTGCACCCCTTTCATATTAATTAATTTCTTAGTAACAGCAGGGCTAGTATTTAAAATGGTCAAATAGTAATTTATTTTGACTGTCCTAGATAAAAACATGTTGATGAAAGAAAAGGTGCATTGACAATAGAAATTATTTAAGCGATGTCTCAACGTAGACTTGGCTTCATTTTGTTTGTAGTTTGCTCTCTGGTCCTGGGGGCTGTGTACGACAGTGCTGTACCAGTGAAGCTGCCAGACAAACAGGACTGTAGAACTCGGGGGATTTTACAAGCTCGTGTCACAAGAAGGAGTGCTGATAATAACTTGTTTCTTCATCACCTTCTCACTCTTGGTTGGAACTGTTGATTGCTTTAATCTCCAGTCAATCCGGTTTCAAAACTGCTACTAAAATCACATTCATATTTTTGACAGCTTTTTACTGTTGCCTTATTGAAAAACTGTGACCTACTAGAACAGAGTGTACTTCTTAGACAGTCCATCAACATTTTCATCAAAGTCAAGAGCTACTTATTGAGATATACAAAATGTTGGACCATAAAGCGGTGGTTAATAATACACTTTGTTAGGGTTGAAAAATCAAAATTTGTGTTGGCACTATTGTCAAATTTCAGTGGTATTCTTAATACAATTTCCTCTAAAAAGAACAAAATATATTTTCTTTCTATAGAACTATTGCCTTGGATCCAGAATATACACTTTTTAATGCTTTACAAAGATGGGAGCCTGGTCACCAGTTGAATCTCCCAGTTTTCAGATAGGTGAGATTGACAGCTGGATTAACCAATCAGGGACACACACATGATCCACTATATCAGAAAAAAATAACAAAAAATAACCTAAACATTGTGGATTTCTGTAGAATCAGTGAGCGATGTCTGTTAATCTGACATGAGAGAAATTTTATTTTATTTGTAAATCATTGGAGAACAATGAGTTCCTTCGTTTCACATGTCAGAAAAGAAAACAAATCTTATTGCACGATCACATTTGGCCAGGCTTGAGATGCAATAGAGGGAGTAAGGACCAGACTGATCTCAATCTGTATTAAAAATTAAGAGAGGTATCATTCTTGATTTGTCAGGCACATAGAACTACTTATTGTATGTTCTGAAATGCATGGGATTCTTGTATTCATTTATCAGTTCATATTTCAGCCTTCTCTGTATGTTAATGCTCCTGTATCTATTTACAATGTGCACACATATAGCAAATGTAATCATAGTAAACTGCAGTACTACACTGAATCAGACACTGTAGTATCACACCGAAAAGATTACGATGGCTAGGGGTTATTTGTTATTTAAATGGCAGCACGCAGGACAATACCATTTATACTCCGAGTAAGAGTCCTGCTGCATATTCACAGTGTAAATGTATTGGCAGTTTCACTTTTACTCATTCATACAAAATACGGTTTTGAGTAGAGATAAGACTACGTCCAAGGTTCAAATGGTGATATCAAAGTGCAAAGTGAGTCACTGAGTTTTCCGGCAGTTCAATCAAAATCCCTCTACACTTTGACAGTTTTTTCCATGGTCACTTCTGATTTTACAAGATAATGTCATGATTTGTCTCATTTAGCTTATAACAAATGAATAAACAAAATTTCCTGTCTTTTTATGGAAAAACAGTAATCCTGTATTTTAGTATTCTACCGATAATCCATCTTTTTCACTTCAGATTTCGATACTATAGCTTTAAGTATCTGCTGATATCAACCGATATCAATGCAGTGCATTTATATCCTTAAAACTAAAATAGACAAAACTGAGAAAAATGTGTTATATAACTGTTATAAGTAACTTCTAAACAACTTTGTGCAAATAAAAGTCCAAACAGATCTTTTTTTAACAACCATTAAATAGTCGTATGTAATGTAATACGTATGTATACAATGTACATGTCCAAACAGAATATTGGCTGAACCGATATTTGGAAGCTAATCCAGCAAATCTTTCGACATTGGTGCATTCCCACCAATAAGTGCTTAAATATTTAGTATTATTTTTGCCCTTTTTTATCTTGTTTATATTATCTCTGCTCCTGAATGTGTTTAAAATGTGAACTGTGAACTGAATCTTGATATGAAGTGTATCTTGATTCTGTGGTCAGACGGAGCCAGGTGCTGTGTGTTCACGTAGAGCTGTTGTTGTTACATGTAGCTGGGGAGGGACAGGCTCATGTCTTTATGCTGCTTATGGAATGAAGGGCGAGGTTCTGGAAACATGCCAATTGGTTCAGGCACGGCAAATATTGTTATATCTCTCGTGTCTGCTACTTCACTGCGCAGCTATCAGTATCTGAGACATTTAAAAAACATATTATATATTATTATGATTTTGTCTGGTATGCAGTTATAATCTATGGCACCCACTAATCATTATTTTATATTTGGATGTATTCAAATGCTATACTGATCTAAATAATAAAACAAATGAATGCACTGTCTTCCGAGCGAAAACTGGCGGAAATTTCTAGATGAATGACGTCTTGATTGCATAACAGTGAAGAATATCTCAAACATATCAATCACTGTTAATACAACTCTGGGCAGGTAAATGAGAAAGGAAAATGTCTCCTTTAAACTCCTTCATAACTTCTTTAATGATATGTTTGAAGAAAATTCATTTAAACTTTTATAATATTTTAATAAGAAAACATTTGTGTTAGACAATATCTTAACATTATGTAAGTTGAATGAGAAATTTGAGGGGACCTGTCCCCTGTAGAAGTTCTGAGTAATTTACACACAAAGCTGCTCTGCCAGTTTCAGCAGTTTCACTGCTGCTGAACTGTTCCTGTCTAAGCTTGTCTCATAAATACATAAATACTTGTCTGTCATTTATTTCAGTGCTTTAGATCATTAAGATACAACAGAATGTGAACTGGAAAAATACAATGTACTTGAACTTGAATTTGATTAGCAATTTAAGTTTTGACTGTAGGATTCAGTTCAGAGTTCACATTTTAAACACATACTAGAGACTGAAATATGAACTGTTTGACTAGTACAAGGATACCATGAATTTCAGAAGATATTTGTAGAGGTATAAATTAGGGTTATCAGATTTTTGTTTACATAATCAGATAGCGTAGTTTATTATTTGCAAGTATATTTACCTAAACAACTGCAGTCCTTGTGATTGTGACTATTCAAATTAACATTCTATTGAGACATGTAGCCCCAATTAAAAATCTTATCCTGATATCAGAAATGAAATGCAGATATTTGGGACAAGTTAGAGCAGATGCTGCAAGGTGCCTCAGGGTTTACTGGTGGTGTTTTTGACAATATGTAAAGCTTATTTTCGTGTCATTAGAAACTGAAGGGTAAAAGTAAAGCTTTTACTAACATTTTTGGTGTATACTTTCCAACTTGCCCTAAGGCTCTCGGTCTCATATCTTTTTAATGCACTAGTTCAGCTTGTTTAGGGGAGTTGGAGCCTCCATTAACTGTAGTCAACTTGAGTGTATAATGGCGTTCAAGTCATTGCCTTCTCAATATTTAGGCCCACTGCAGACAGTAGCAGCCTTTACACATGTAGAAATGATAATGCTCACTGCTCCTATTAGCAAATAAATTATTCTATTATCCATGCTACAAGTTTTTCTATTAATTTACTATTTACTATCTCCTATCTCGCTAGAAACACAATTCTATTCTGAGTACAAGTAATAATGTACCAGTAATGCAGTTAAACCTGTATTACTGAGGTATTATTTTAATCCACATATCAAATTTAATTCAGGAACATACCATATTGTTGAGTCATTTAGTGTTTCTGAAGAACTTTCTAATTACTTAGAAGGAGAGAAGGAAAAATATATCAATAGTAAAATCTGTTGATTTACCATAAAACCAGTTTTTTCCTCCTTCCATCCATCCATCCATTTTCTTCCGCTTTATCTGGGGCCAAGTCGCAATGTTTCCTGATTCACAGATTTGTTGTGAGTGGGTGTTATTTGAAGCTAACTGCATAATTAGCACAATTGTATATTTTTAAACATGTTTTCGTAGCAAATGTCAGAATATTGCTACAGATTTTGTACTAATTCTGCTTTTTTCTTTGTATTCTCTTCCAGCTTCACCTGGCTGTCGGCGCAGGTGCACAGTAACATGGTGATGCATTTCTCAGGCCGAATCACAGACAGTTTCGACCGAGAGTTTCGTTGTCTGTACGCCGACTCTCAGGTCATCGACTGTTTCTTCAACCCTGAGGACGAGGGCATGCCCTACTACCCCTCATACCAGGCTATGATGCCAGGCATGGGCCTCAACTTGGGGCTGGGGCCAGTTATGGGGATCGACCTTCTCTCTGACAGGTAATCATGCTTTATTTATAGTATCAGTGACAAACAGGTAGTATAGTGCTTACAACAAATCTGGCTGGTATTGATTGTGAACAACTGCATATAAACTAGTACACACGTCTTTGCTATTGGCCTATTGTTTTTTCTGGTTTATTTTTTCTGGTAGGTTTGCTGATGTTTTCTATGTTTATTGCAGCCGGCAAAGAGACAGGGTGTGCTCGGAGAATTCCAGTAGCCAGTCTAGTAACAGTGTGTCCAGTGTGAAGGCAGCACCAGGAATGACTACAAACAACATCTACAAGGTCACACAAGCTCATGAAAAGAAGGAATCAAACAACAGTTCCCACAAGAGCCCAGAGAGAAGAGGTGGACAGACCCCGACTAACCAAAACCCCATTACTCCAGTGACACGTGTCAATGGTGCAGCCAATCACAGTCCATCTTCAGAGAGGCCATCACAGATCTATCAGCCCATGGGAATCGAGTGGAGCAAGAGCAGTCCTGTGGACTTAATGCGCTCCAACATTGGAGGAGCTTCTTCCAAATTCCAGGCTCTGGGTTTGTACGAGCACAAGCCCACTCTGTTCCACAACAGTGGATATGCGTCCAACACCCCAAACACTAATCTAAATTCAAAGGCTCCCACCCCTACCCCTACCCCCATTGCAGACCCGAAAATCAATTCCAAACAGCGCAATTCATCCAACCAGTTCCTTAACAAACTGTCAGACCTCTTCGTGCACCCTTCCAGCAAAGATAAAGACAACTATGGCTACCGCAGGTCTCCCTCTCCCCTAGCCCCGATACCCTGGGTGGGCCCGGACCTGTCCCAGACTGAGCCTGAGAGCCAGCAAAGCCCCCCTCCCCCACCCTCACCAGGTGTCCTCATGAACCGCCAGGATCTGAAGCGCATGACTCTGGGACACAGCAAACTGGACCTTGTCAACCAATACAACAAGATGAAGTCCAAAAATGTGTACAGTCGATTTGAGCTAAAGAGCAGCAACTGATCCTCACATTACACAATATCTGTGTAAAGAGTCACTATATTGTTAGTTTTGAAAGACCTGATATAGGCCTACTTTACAAACCTCACATGCAGTTGAACTTTTATGTTTACAGAATATGATCTTACTATTTGAGTTAATATGAAAGGATCTATCTGTATCTTCTCCATGAAAGAGACAAAATACGACATGCACTTGGCAATTTTAAGAATTTCTACTAGTTTTAAATTAAGGTAGGACAACAGAAGAACATTGTATTGTTTACAAGGATTATTATGTATGATTATTAATCTGTAATTGTTAAGGTTTCCTGGGACAGGATATACAAGTCAGTGTGCTGAATGAATCCATTCACTAATGGGACAAAGGTGCCCGTTAACATTACACAGCAGACTGTAGTGTTGTGTGAAAGTGTTATTTGGGTTGGAGAGTAGTCTGTGTTGTGCTGTATTTAACTGTCAGCTTTAACTGTGAGTGCTAACATACCTTTCACAGTCCGACTTCGAAAGAGTATCTTTAACTTGAACATACCTTTACTTTCATGATCATTTATTTGACTAAGATTTACACTCCAAGGAAAACTCTTCCTACATTGGTGCCTTCTTTACTCTGCCTTAAGAGTGATTCTCTCTGGCCTCCCATATGGGAGACATAGCACCTTGTACATACATCACACTCCTGGTGCTTTTTGCTTCCTAACAGTTGTATGGAAGTTTTTGTAAATATGAATATGCCAAGCTCTTTAAGTGACAATATGAGATGATTGAGAAAATATTTGAATAACAGTTTTGAATAAGATGTTTCTTACAATGGATTGTTGTGATAGTGTACAGTTTACTGTGGTGATTTTACACTTAAATTTATATTTATCCTGCATTGAAATCATAATTGGCATATGCTAAATAAGTAATATATGCAATTATCAGTGAAAATAGTGACTGCAGGAGACTAACTCAAGAGACTCTGCACTTGGGCTGTGCAGAAAAAGTTTTCACTTTTGAGACGCACAACAGCTATTGCAACTGAAGCAATAAGCACATTCTGCATCATGTAGAAGTGTGGAGTGTTTTGTCAATAAAGACAAATGTGTATACAGTGCATATTGTACATGACATACTTTATAGATTCTTTATAGGCACATTTGGGTTTACAGAATGTCAAAGAACTTCTGTTTTGATGCAAATTCATTCTTCTATTCAGTTGAAAATGTGAATGTAAAGTTCTATGTATATATGACCTTACTTTTGATGAATTAAAGTTATATAAAATATAAAAGTATAATGTGTTATTTTAATTCAAACAACTGAATCACAAAGAAGATTTCCCTCGAGTTGACATCAAAGTAGTTTCGTTCATGACGTGGGTGCGATGACAAAAGAGCTGTTCCTGATTCAACAAAAGCACTGCACTGGAAATGGTTCATGTTTTGATCACTTCATTCAGTGAATACTTTTTCAGTGTTAAGCCAGAAGTGTTATTGTTAATGTTAATGTTTTGCTTTTATACGTACCGTGTGTATAAAAATTGTTATAGGTCTGCTACATTGGGCAATGGGGATGTAAACACGCACATTTAAGATTTGAAATGTGTTGTATTTTAAATGTATAGGACATAGAACATCTAAAGTGCTTTGAGAGCTGGGGACCTTCCTGTCAGGAAATCCCGCCCATACCAAGGGTCACAGTCACAAAGCCAACAATGTGACTCAGTGAAATATCCCAGGTGTGTTTAACTTATTTGTCTTATAGTAATATTAGGCCTATTGATAGTGTGCAGTGATGTCATGCTGGGGGTGTCCTACATACATCTGTTTGGTAAAATGTTCAGGAGTTAGCATGGTGACACAATGCATTAGAAAAAACTACCCAAAAGTTTTAAGATTGTCTAAAAACTTAAATCATGCAAAATGGATTTAAACATGCTCATGAAGGTGTTTGATTTTTAGCAAAAAGGTGAGAGTGACTAACTGAAAAACTGTTGGCTAATCCTAGTGAGCTCATGACTGTATTTAAGAGCACAAATCATCTTACCTGTTCCAACTAAACCAGCTCTTTCTAGTAGATTGTGTTAAACTAAAGCTCAGATTAAAGTATAAAAGCCTCAGACAAAGCAGAGTTAACATTACACCCCCAGGGAATGTTGATGACATCATTTGCAAATTATCAATATTTATGAGGGTAAATTAATTAATTGATGAATGTAATTAATTAATTAATTACATTAATTTTACAGCAATTGCATGCATATGTTTGAATCTCTTTTTGGTGAAAATCTACATTTTAAGTATTTAACCAGGATACTTTTAAATGTTTTAAAATGCACTCATCAGTTCTGTAGTATTGTACCACTGTAGGTCTGCAGCTTGCAATGAAGCCATAGTTGTAAGGCTTCCCCTGTGTTTGGGTGGTTGTCATAGTAACTAGCCTTTTAGACATTTTATTAACACTGGTCTGTGACATACTGTTGTTTAAACAGGAGGAAGTACTTGATTTACTTTCAAAGCCCTCTTTCTTTGTCAGAATCAAGGTGTGACTTCAGAAGAATCAGCAGAACAGGCAGTCAAAAAAAAATGGTGCTGCTAAGTGTTGTGTTTTAAATAGACCAAGCAATGGAAAGTTAAGGAGGTCATCACTCACTTGTTCCAACAGGTAATCTTTGCTCCTAAAGCAAATCTACTGAACACGACAAGGTTACTTATAACAAATGTGTTTAATAATCATATGTGGTTACCTGTCATATGCATATTTAAAGCCACAATATGTCACTTTTTAGCAAAGAATTTGATAAAAATAAAAAAATAAAAATCTCATTTTGGTTGTGTTTGTTGCAGTGACAAACATGTTACAATTCTGTCTAGGCTTGCATCTCCACAGACCTGACTCTTACATGGCCTGGGGGAGTACCTCATCCTGCTTGTTTCCATGGAAATGTTGTTAAGTGATGATGTCACTTCCACATCCTACCTGAAGCTTTACATCTTTATTGGCTTTGTTTATGTTCCTTATTCATCAGACAAGAGACAATTATCCTTCAGAAATGTACAGTACGTTTAACCACAAAATTGCAGCAAATATGCAAATGATCTAGTTATAATCTGTCATGACATAGTATTACCAATGGGTATATCTCACTAACTGTTTGTCATCGCTAATGCTAGTTTAGTCTACCCTGACTTCCTATCTCAACTTCCCTCATACACTTTCTATCACAGTTATACCCATACATTAAACAACTGTAATCTCTTTTTAATGTGAGATGTGTAGTTCCTAAAAAGAAAACAGGAAATTGATTGAAACAATCAACGTTGATTGTTTTCCATCAGCTGATGGACAGAGAAGTTACATCTCAATTAAAAACTCTATTGTCTTTCACACTATGGCCTTAATGTCTTCTCTTCATGTAGAATATTCCACAGTATAGTTTTAACTTTGTATTTCCATGACATTTCCAGAAAGTTACATATTATAATTTGTATATGTATTAAAAATACAGTTAAAGAATTAAACGTTTCACAATACACATTGCTTTTTTCACATACAAGAGACAACTATATACATCTAGTAACCATCATGTACACACTTGAATGAGGCACACAGGAAAGAGCCAAAGAGCTATACCGTATCTGGTTTATAGGGCAGATAAGGTAACACAAGACGCTCATGTTTCAGACTTGACCACTGACAACCAAGTAGAGAGGACAGCTTACTCAAGTCACTGTAACCATTATCACCCTTTGTGTTTTGACAGAGCCTAATAACTACCTGCATTATTAGGAGTTTTGAAACATAAAAGACTTTGTAAAGATCTATGGATTTCAGACAGTATCCTGTAATTGGAGCAATTTTGAGGACAGTTTCAAATGTAGAACATATAGAACAGTTTGTTTTCATTGTTTTTGTATCAGCATTGTGATGGTTCTAATTATTCATCACTTTGAAACCTAGGGATTCTGATTCTGATATATAAGATCACAAGTTTTACTATGGACCAATCATTTAATCTGGTAATACACTTCATCATGTGAATTATTCTGTGGACTCTTGACAGTTTCAGCTGTAGAATATAGAATATCTTTTTTGTTGTTGTTGTATCAGCATTGTGATGTACAAGATCACAAATTTTTTTATGTTTTAGTTATTCATTTATACTATTTATTTATCTGGCAACTCACACTCACTTACAGTTATTTTGTGTCTTCAGTTACACAATACCAGCACCAACATGAGCTCAACAGTGCTCTTCATTTGTTGTTGATTCGCTGACATAAGCACTTTTCGGGGTGATAACAGCTGTGTAACTCGAGTCTCTTCTCTATAGCCAGGAGCCGGTGTGGGGCCGTGGGTGCTCAGTGCGTGGAGGCCTTCTCACCACTATCTGTGTCACAAAGAGAGTCAATTTCTGAAGACTGACAAGGAGAGCTCTGTGAAGACCTTGGTGTGGCAGAGCTATATCTTTTGATCTGTTATTGTCTATGAACTGGGTGGATGTGGGGGAATAAGACCTGGAACCTAACAAAGGACAAGATTAGCTGACATACACACACACATGTTTATTTACTGTTACATAAGTTCCAGCAAGTTAATGGAACAGTTTTACAGTGGTTTGGGGCAAATGTTGATTCTGATTCCTGCTAAACATTTAAACATTAAAACATTGACTCTTGTGAGCTTTAAGCCATATTATAATGTTGTTACTTCTTCAAAAACATACTAGGAGTTGTGTTTTGTTTCATTAACACATATTTGAGTAACCCTTTATGATTAGTGTGTCTACATCTCCGAAGCTCAAAATGCTCTGTCCCACCTTATAATGTCATGTAGTGGTTGTTTTCATGATAACTGCAACCTTTTGACCAGTAGAGATTGGCCATTCCAGGGATGAAATCCATCCAAATGATTTTAGTGAAGGTGACTGGAGTTTAAAAAACACAGTGGCACACTACTGCAACATGATACCACAAGTTGGAACAGAGTGTTTTCAGCTTGAGAGAAAAACTGAGAAAAAATTGAAACAAAATACAACTCCAGATATGTTTTTGTTGAGGAAAGAACATTAAAACATATCAGAAAACAATGCAATACAGGCCTTTAAAATAAACTATATTTAACCTAATTTAGTAAAATTTGGCGTTGAAACAACATGCATCAATTTCCTCAAAGGGCCCAGAATTTTGTGCTACATCCTTGCCCCCAAAACAAGTCTTACAATGTTTTGATCAAGCATAGGAATACAGCAACTTTGGTGAAAATTTCAACTCACATTAAATGTTTTACAAAACATTACAAAATAAAAGTTAATGATGTGGACCATATTACAAACTATCAGCAATGAAACATGTGCATATTAACTCTTCACAAACAAATTCTGAAATACAAGAATTCAACACTCCCTTTTGCAAACTATTCTTCTTATGCATGTTTCAGCATTTCTTACTTGGTTCCAGATGCTGAAAGGAAATTAAACCCCCTCTGACCTTGTGAGAAAAAGGTCACCAACATTATAAACCCGCCTTCATCCTTTTACAGTAATTTTCTCTCTTCATGACGACTAGTTCTATGTCTACAGCAGAATCTTCACCAGGTCAATGCATGGATATTGATATACAATAGTTATTGACAGAACATTTTTCACAAAACATTAATGTGTATTTGTTTACCAATACATTACGCAATTGCAGTCACTGACATCTCATGGAATACAATCAAGTATAATGGTTCATACGGTAAGGTATTATTTTGGTTTTCTGACTATAATAACAAAAAAAGATGACAGCATTGTATTACATAAATAGCCTTACCACATTTTAAGAACCATATATTTGACCCACATGGTCCCATAAAGAGATGCCTTGCCTCTGCACAGCATTTCCTGTAGTCTCTCACTCAATATGGTTGTTGTTCATTATCTTCAGGATGCACAGCTCTTCCGGACTCCGGGTGCTATTGTCTGTTGAGGTTGTATTGTGTACAGTAGACCACTGTAAAAAAACAAAACAAAAAAAAACCTTGAGTCTGTTTACGTCTAGGACCTGCTGCTGGTCCATAATTATGCTCATTGTTGTATTGCCAAATGCAGTTCTGAGATGTCACTGTCTTTTAAATTATAGGACAGGTTGTCAGAATTATTTTTGGTGTCTTCTTTTTTAATTCTATCAGAAGAAGAGATACAAAAACATTACTGTACAGTCTATAATTTGCGCTTTGTTTTTAGAGCATTGCTCACTTTTACACATATTTGTAACAGGATCATCGTAATTCATTTGCAACCATTTTAAC